AGGTTCACTTTCAGATTACCAAGTCACTTTTTATTATTATTTTTCATATTTATTGTAAAATATCAGTCCCAAGTCACTTTTTTTCCATTCTCTCATATTTATTGTGAAATGTTGACAACAAATTGGAAGAATCCTACTGTGTTATTATATTTTCATATTTATTGAAAATATCATTCCCAAGTCACTGTTTTTCCTTTTGTCATATTTGTTGGAAGACATCTTAAACTAATTGGAAGAACCTTAATTCATTATTATTATTATTTTCATATTTATTGTAAAATATTACTCAAGTCACGTTTTTGGCATTTTTTTCATATTTGTTGTCAAGTATCTACATCTAATGGGAAGAATCTTGCCTTTTTTCATATTTATTGTAAAACATCAATCCCAAGTCAATTTTTTCATTTGTTCACATTTAACAATTTATTTTAAAGCTTAAACTGTCTACAAATTCTATCTAATTAGATTATTAGAAGAATCTTCATCGTTGTCCAAAACTATCACCTTCCTTTTTAATTTTTGTTAGACTTCTTGTTATCCTTGAGTCCCTGTTTCCATGTAGCCAAGGTACCTTCTTGGAGTTCTTGGAGTAGAAGGCCATCATCATTTTGGTAGGGAAGTGAGGGGGTACCTGTAGCGGTACCTAGGTACCTGTTCAATTTTTCACAAAAACAGGTACCAAGTACCGCACCTGGCACCTCCCGACGGGTGCGGGGCGGGTGTGAAGGGTACCCCCCAAGCGGTACTAGGTACCTAGCAAAGGGTACCGCGGAACGATCTCTACCACAGTCGTTAGTGTGCTTTCTTCAGATTCGATTTCTGACATGTCAGACTCTGTGACATTCAGCTTGTTTTCTTAGTTCTTAAATCACTGGAGTCATCAGTGCTTGGGATGATTTATTTTTTACTCATCCTTTCCAACACTTTTGTCTCCGGGTAAGTCTCTATCTCTTCTTTTCATTTCTCTCTTTCTCTGTGTTTGTTGGAATGAACTCTAATCCTTACCAACACTTTTGTCTCCAGGGTGTTCATCTCAACAGACAACACCCTGCCTTGCAATACTTCTCTACAATTCCTTCCCCCAGAGATTATTGCCATACAAACCCAATCACCTTGCTTACTTAGTCAGTGGGGGTTATTATAATATAAAATGTCAACTTGTAAACACTCTATTTTCTTATCTTCCCTCATACTTGTATCTAGTTCCTAGACTGCAGTTAATTTGAGCTACTGTAGCCTAGTTAACTTAGAAGAGAGCTGCATCACCTTTAGCTCTAAGCTCAGTGCCGCAAAGCTCATCCTGCTTGTGTCCCCTGTAATCTAGGAAGCTACCCCTCTGCTTCCTAGTGTTGAGGTGAGACCCTTTTCCACTAACTGTTTTTCAGATATAGTGAGACCCAAAAACCCCCATCAGCACCAGGTCACTTTAGAGACTGGCACTGACAGTTAGCATAACTGGACCTTTTTTGCTTGCAGTTACACTGCAGATTGGTTTGGGTAGACTTGATAATTGGCAGACCATTCAGCTGGATCAAGAAACCTGTGTACCCTTCCCCCTCTTGAAAGCCAGTCAGCCATGAACTATGTACTCTTCACAGTATGTGACAGTACCATTACTAGTGGCCGATTCTGTGCAACCTGAAGGGGGAGTGCAAGGGATTCACTCATCAATGATTCTTTTCAGCTATGGAACTATTGAAAAGTTTGAGCAAAGTTTGTTTCTGAAATGTGGTCCATCCCTATTCCTCCCCTGTAAGTGGCCGATAGATACAGAAAAAAGATTCGGTCAACCGTCATGCTGGAGGCTACCAACATGACAGCACAATATCTGCATACACTACCGGTGCACACGGTCGAACTACTGTCAAATTGTTTATGAAGTGAATGGAAAATATGCGTCTATGGGGGAGGGGGATGTTGGCAAACTTGGTGTTCAATTTGTGTGTATTCAGTATTTTTTCTAGCTTGACCCTGCAGCAGCACCGGTGTCCATAACTTTCCTTGCTCTTACATTTACACCGGGTTTTGCCGTCAAGTCGGAAAAAGCCCAACTGTGGGATCGATCTGTAGCTCGGTTTGATCTCGACCCCCCTCCGAAAAAATTTCCGACCGGCGATAGATACCTGTTCAGAATCTCCGTCCCTTGCAGAGCAGGCCATCGGAACAAGGTCCACATCTGCTAGCCGGAAAAATTCCGCTTACCATGAGTGGGCATGGACTTTATCCGACCGGTATACGTGACCGAATTCTACGCACATGTTTTGTAGATCCGACATGCTTGACTGGGGCAACTTGGCTTATCGGATCCTGAGACACATCTAATTTTCAAAACAAGTTGATCGGTTGCGAGATTTTTCCGAGACTTTAATCCTCAGTTGTTTCGGATTCATCATGAGTGGTAAAGACTTATACGATTTTGAATGCATATAAAGAAGCACTGGTCTCGGGCTCCTTGATCGACTGCTCTCAGCATATAATTCGCCTTTAAAATCCGGATTTTAGTTTCTGCTTAAGCGCTCATTTGGGAGGGGGATACAATGTTCAGCTATAATCGTGACACTGTTCGAAGGGTGTCATTGTTCCTAATGATGCTTGATCAAACCATGTCTGGAATGATCCCAGGCAACAATCTAGTCACCGAGGCAGCCGCCGCACCGAAAGTGGTCGGGGAAGGCCTTTCGAAAGAACTAGATCATGGATATACCAGCGGATCGATAATCTCTCCTCCAAAATACCAGTCAGTCGCCAAGTTTTGTTTTGGGCTCCCTCTATATGAGTTTTTTTCCCCTCGGGCCCTCGGGCTAGGCAAGGGTTAAAATCCCCATGTTGTCTCGTTTTCATCGTACGCAGAATCAAGGACATGAAGTTCCGCCGACTCGGAGGCTCGGGTTTGCGAGTGCCGATCTTCTCCTGTAAGTCCGGGTTTCCGATTGAGAAACTATGAAGCTCCGAGAAGATGGGGATTGCCGCTTGGTCTGACATATTGCTCGGGCCAACTTTCGCACCTCGATAATAGATGGTGGATGGTTGTCTGTAGGATCCGTAGCCACCGGCGCTACTGTTAAAGAACTCATGCAAATTGCTTGGGACCATGTTAGTGTTCCCATTTCGATGGCTGCTAACAGCACATTCCTCATGAGGAAAGCTGACCCTTGCCTTGTCTGATGAACCCCACCAAAAAAAAAAAAATCCTCATCAAAGGGTTGCAGTAAGTCTTACCGACTGATCCACATACATGGCTATCTGAGACTGACACCAGTTAGCAATTTTGGATTGTTCATGGTACTTGTAAATGATGATTAAAAGACTACTTTGACAATGCGGAGATCTATGCGAACGGGAATTCGGAGAGCGAGATGGGAAAGGCATTAAAGGAGCTAGGATGGGAGCGGAGCGAATACATGGTGGCGACGAAGGTATTCTTCGGCACCGGAAATTCGGAGGAGCCCAATGCACGGGGTCTTTCGCGGAAGCACATCATCGAGGGCGTCACGGCATCCTTGGGTCGGCTCCAGCTCAGCTATGTCGACGTCGTTCACGCCCATCGTCCCGACCCTACCGTCCCCATGGCCGAGATTGTCCGCGCGTTCACTTACCTCATCGATCAGCGCTTGGCTTTCTACTGGGGTACCAGCGAATGGAGCGCTCAAGAAATTCAAGAAGCTATGACAGTCGCTAGGGAGCACCACTTGATCGCTCCGGTGGTCGAGCAACCTCAATACTCTTGTGCGTCTCAGAATTGGGTGGTTGGTCTAGCTGTCGAAATACATTCATTCACCTAATTTATACTGTTCTTTTGGCGAATCTCAAGTGCTTCACAGGGAAAGATTTGAAGTCGAATACAGCCCGATTTTCAAGAAATTGGATTGTAAGTAATCCCACCGCTCTTGTTATTTTTTCATTGTGTTTTTTTTTCTCCTCTTGCATTGAGCCTTTATTCGCAAGCTCAAAAAGAAGGGAACAACTGATGGCTATTTCGTTTCGATTGATCTAGATGGGTCGACGATTTGGTCTCCATTGAAGAATGGTGTCCTTACAGGTACGTGACTTCATGTGGAGCTCTAGGAGAAGGAGGCTGGGAGGCTCCAAGACTGATTGACGAATGGGGGGGGGCTGCAACAGGAAAATACAACGAGGGGATCCCGCCTGGGTCGCGAATGGACGTCAACAAAGAGTTCTTCAAGGACTCGGTGGCCAGGATGGACACGGAAGAAGGCCGAAAAGAGATCGAGAAGGTCAAGCAATTGACCAAGTTAGCTGAGGATAAGCTCGGCTGCTCCGTCGGCCAGTTAGCCCTTGCCTGGGCTGCCAGTAATGGCCATGTCAGTACCGTCATCCTTGGCGCAACTAAACCCGAACAGTTGAAAGAAAACTTTGGGGCATTGAAAGTAAGTCCTCTCTTCTCGATCCATCTTGAACAATTGCTCTTGCCTCTATATACATGGCCCGTGATCCGCCATCTTGACCGGTTTTGCCTGACTATTCAACTTTCCTTTTGTTAAGATCATCGATAAGTTAACGCCCGAAATCAAGCAAGAAATCGAATTGATCATGGATAATGCGCCTACCCATCCTCAAACTTGGGGAAGATAATCAATCTGGGCATCATCTAAAACAATGAAAAATGAAAGTGAAATGGTTATTACACTAAGAAAGCTCAATCAAAGACACCACTTGTCATCCATCTTTTTGCTAATAAAAGACAAGAAAACTTCGTAGTCACACTCTCTGCCCCATTACGCCCTATCTCTGTTATTATGTGTCATCAGTTGCTTTTGGCCTGCTTCTTTTCTATGTGACAAATTGATCAGTTCCTGTTTATAACTGTAGATATATTATCCTGTTCCCAATGCTTGAAATTGATTTTTTTTTAGTTGTGCGTTTATCATGAAGAGAAGTATCTGGTTCTGGGGAAGTAAATTAGCGAGGTTAGAATAAAATTTGAGCAACAGCCAATGCTTTCTCAGAGTTTCTGTATGCCATATTTTGGCATTTGAATGAGTTTCTTGAATTTTAACATCAGTATATCCCACTAAGTCAAGATTAGCCCAGACAACCTTAAAAATGTAAAAACACAATGGAAATGGAACTTTGAAGTAATGATTTGAGACACAATTATGACAAACAAATATAAGTTATTTCTATTGACATTTATTAATCAATTCTGGAATTATCGAACTATCCATATACCTGAGTGATGCTTTTATTCAATTGAGAGACAGAGTAAAAAAATATATCTTCAAAAAATGTTGAAAGATGGGTTTCTGGACCTTTCCTTTTAAATTTTATGTTTATAACTCTTTTGTTTTGCTTATCCTTGTAACCCTCAATCCATAGTTTGACATACTTCCAGACTCTTTCAGTGGGATCTCTTGTAGCATATTTTTTCAAATTTCCATCAATAGGTTCTTGAGGAGAATCTTCATCTGTCATCAAACCAAACTTTTGACAAATTGCTTTATAGTTCTCTGAGCAATTCTTGAGTATATTTACATTGTTTCTTTCCATATCCACCCCCTGTGAGACAATTTTATCTTTTCTCACAATGATGGATGTGATGATATCTGTATATATCACAAATAAAAGAAAGTGATTCTCAATTTCTTGCATTGTGAATAATCCATAGGTTTTCAAAGAGAGGCTTTCTATATTTAATCCAAATTTCTTTTCATAAAATTGAATCCAGTGTTCCCTTTTTGAGAAAATCATTTCAATTGATTTCCTACGCAACACTCTTCTCCTTTGAATTCTGTTCAACTTGATTTCACCTCCCTGTCCTCCATAATTTTCTTTTATGATTTCAGTTTTGGTATAATATATACTGTGAATTATACTTTCCATGTCCCTTACAAGAATTGATAATATATTGCCCTGTATATGTTTATTAATTACTGAAACAAACAGTTGGAATTTCTTTTTTTCTTGGTCACACCAATCTTCATCATATTTGAATACTCCTGCATAAAAGTTGAGTTTCATATCTGCATCAATAAAATATGGAATTTCCTGGTTTTGGTAATTGAATTTTGGTTTGCAATACCTGTGGAGTATATCATTACTATTTCTGTTTATAGTGTATGGAAATTCTTTCCTCAATGAGGGTACTTGAGTGAATGATTCTGAATAAGTTTGCAGTTGTTGTGTTTGATCTTCATTTTCTACCAATTGAATAAATTGCTTTTTGGAAAGTTTGTTTTTGAAGTTCAGTGACGGATGATGTTCTTTTCTTTTATTTGAAAAATGATTGTTCAAGTGATCCACTGCTTTTATTTGAGCCTCTTTTGTTGGATCATACACATACTCATATTTTGAATAAGAAGTAGGATGTTGTGATACAATGTGTCTGAAGGGATAGATGGGTGGAGAAATTGGGCTGATTGCTATGTTTCTTGTAGTGTTCTCTGTCATTTCAATCAGATTTTGGACATCACCAACCACTTTTCCTTTGTGTTTTTCCAATTTTTGAGATGACTGAGCCTGAGTGTTGGCATGGTTCTCCAGATTATCAAGCTGAGTTGATGATTGGATGAAACTGATATTGTTTTTCTCTTCAATTCCTCCCAAATTATCATGTAAACCTTCATTATTCTCTTGCATTGGATCTCTAGGGTCAGATTTGGGTTCAAGCTCTTCTGAATCTTCACAAATATGATTCCAATTTTGCAGGAGTTCATCCATGTTTTTTGCTTCTTCCTCTGACATGAATTCTTCCAAGATTCCTGGAAACTCTTGATTCTCATGGGGGATGCTATCCTGTGTTATAAGTGAATTGGGATCAATCAGTGATTGAGATGGTTGTAATACTTGGGAGGAAGTGAATGTAGATTGGGTGAACAAATCTGCTTCTGAGAAATTGGGATGTAAATTTTGGGTTTTGGATGTTTTGATGGGACTGAGATCTTCATTGAATCTGAGATTGTGAGTGTTCCAGTCAAAACCTTGACTCAAGTCATCAATTTCTCCAGCATTGCAAGTAATAAAAAGTAATACAAAACAGTTTTGAAAAGCTTTGTAGTGCATTCTTTTTTTGATGAAAAATTTGAGAGAACTTTTCTTGTCTAGAAATATAGGGAAGATGTGTGGAGAGAAAATCAAAGCTTCACCAAGGTAGAAGTATGCCTGCTTGCCTTGATATTTATTTATGTTCATGTTTTGGATGAAACCAAGAGCTAGAAAGCCAAATTTCACAAACTGTGTTTCGACAAGTCCACATCAGCAAAAAAAATGTAACCTGCTTCAGCATATGTATTGTAGTTCAAAATATGCATCCAAAACAGGTGATTCACATGGGTCTTGTCTATCATCTATATGTTTGCTTCACTTTTTTGTCCATGTACCATTAGTGCATAACCCCCTTTTTGTGCGCTGAAGCTGTAGCATCATTGAAATTTCAGAGCAGTTCCACTGCAGACCCTAATTGTGGGCCGTTGAATTTCTGAAATTTGGACTTGCACAGCTGCCTAAAGATGGCCTTGCGGTACCCGGGACCTGTTGGTGGGTACTGCCCCCATGCCTCTGGTACCCGCCAACAGGCCCCAGTTACGGTACTTGGTGTATGTTTTTGGCCAAAAACAACACCAGTACCCCAGTACTGTCAGCCTTAGAGCCAGTGTAGCTGGCCAAAAGACTGCTTTTACCAACTTTTACTACTACAAAATTATCATGATAACTTTTTACTTGTAAGATATTTTCCATATCTGACTTCAGATATGGATTTCCCAGCTAAATTAGCCCCTTGTCACCACTGGCCACTTTTTATCATACTCAACTCCTTCACATACTTTGCTAAGCTTTACTTCACTGTACAGTGGGTAGACAGTGAAAAGTGACTGCTTATTTTGGATTCCAGAGCTCTGAAACACAAACTTGAAGTCATGAGACTTGGTCAGGTGGTGCATAATAGCTCCCAAAAAATGAATATGGAATAATAAAAGCAAAAAATAAAGTTTGAAAACTGAAAATACTGTCAGAGGATCCTCAGTTTGCATTTTCAGGATCTTCAAGGTTTTTAGACTCACTTTGAACCAGAGCCACCAAAAAACCAACCAACCCTGCTACTGCTTGGCGCTTAAATTGTTAAAATGATACCAACTCCCAGTTTTACCTCCACATGGTCATGCTAGGACTCTGAAAGTTAGTACTCTTTCTTGTTGCTTGATTTTCTAAGTTGCTCTGCTATCTCAGCCTCACATATAGTTCTTCAACCATATCAGTTCTTCAACCATATCTTTCTCTTTGAATCACTCTTTCTTAAACCTCAAACCAATTCTATACTTCATCTCATTGTTTGGTGGTACATCTGAAAACCACATAGGTTTCCCTTTAAAGAGCCTTTGTCAACTGGCAAGAGTGTAACACCTGTAGTAACACTCTTGACAGTGACAAGTAATAAAGAAATATCAATTAAGATACAATAAAAATAACTCATAATTATAAGTATGTAGAAGCTAGAAAGTTGTAATTATATAATAAATACAAGATTACAGAAATAGAGAGAGAAAATACATAACAAACAAATAATCAGAATCACATAAGACAGAAAATTGATGAAAGCACAACATTACACTATAATAGAATATCAATGAGATCACCAACAGGTGAACAAACAAGTGGAGGCTTGTTTAAGATAAACATGAAATACAAACCTGCTGAGTGAACATTAGTTAGAGAAAACAGGCTACCTCGGTCTGAGAGGACCCTCAATTACAACTTGACTATGATGTCATAGTTGTTTTAGGGATAACCCCAGAGTAGAAGATAAGAATATTTAAGAAGAATAGTCCAAGCGATGAAGGAGAACTTTTTCCTTTTCCCCTGCATAAATTACTAGAAAAAAAGATATAACCAATACTACCAACTCAAAGAGCATTCACTAAAAGTAATACTTTAGAAATAACTCTTGCTTTGGAAATTAGCTTAAATCTTTATCGCTAGTTACTACTGCACTTGCCTCCCATCACCCTGTACAAGCCTAGGTAACACTGGTCTGTTATCTATTGCTTGTTATCTTCACTCCGTCTGTTCCCAACTCAACTATCTGTCAACGCTTGGATTGCCCTGGCTATTAAGCTGCAGGAAGCTCGTGTAAGCCTCAAGCACGCCTCTGTCCTGAGCATCGATTGATTAACTAATTATCACTTTCAACTTGTCTCTTTGTCCACGGTTATAGAACTACAATCCTATTTCGTAAGTAGCATAAACCTGACAGCCTTGATCCTAGATCCAAAAAATAGTGGTTAGTTCTGAGCATATTCAAACTGAAACCTTCTACATTTTCCTTTGTAGATGAGGCTAGTCTTCAACAGCTTATCAGCCATCCTACAAGAGGAAATTAAGACTGAAGATTCAATCAAACATAAATAGAAACAAACAATAAATATATTTCTCTCTTTGTCTCTATTTTCTCTCTCTCTTTTTCTCTTACTTCTGGTTGTATTTCTCTTCCCTTAGAAATCCATCTAGTAGTTTTTAATTTTTTATGAAATAGAAGAGTAGGATTGTGATTGAGCCCGCAAAATTGAGGCAGACTTCACTCAAAATTCCAACGATAGTATCTGTGGCAAAGAAACAGAAGCCTCCAAAGTGAAGATTCAGCAGCCAACCAATTAAAGCGGTGCTAAAGCATCCTGATCAATTTGCCAAAAAACAGGTGAAAGATGTAACTCAAAATGTGATGTTTTTAGTCCAAACGCTTTACACTTGGCTTTGAAAGCTTATGTCCATGTAAGTCACTTTTTTGCAGTTCAGCCACCTGAAAGTAGATCACCTGGTGGAGGGATTTGTGCTTGTTGTTTTGACTGATGTGGCAGGATTGGTCTTTGAGCAAGGAGGGACTCCGCTTGGTCAAGAGTCCATGGACATTTTGCAGGCAAAGCACAATTGCTAGAGGAAATTCCATCTCTTGGCAAGTCGCATTACAGTGGAGAATGGAGTGAATCCAATGGGCCAACAAATCATCAAACACCCCAAACGCCCAACTCACAATCCCTGGGAGGTGGGTCTGTTTTCTGACCAAAGGAAAACAATGCTGGAGCAATTCTGCTTGGTAGGTTTCTAGTAGCATTGCATGGCTTTTGCCCCTTGCTAACACATGCTTTTGATTGAGTAAAAGCTCTGGATGGAACAAGATCCTGTGGCTGGCCTTGTCTGGCTCACAGAGCTCTGGAGGAATAGAAACTGACACTCAAGATCAACACTCCGGCAATATAACTGGATGGCAAAGTCAATCTCTGCACAACACAATCCAATCAGTGCAGCTAACCCCAAAAATTCAAACAGTGGGGTCAATTCAAATGAAACAACTGGCGCCAACTGGGGTGAGTCAGCTTGTAGAACCACCTCTGTTGTCAGGCAAGACAACTGCAGCTTGATTTAGAAATTTGTCTTGTTACTACAACTTTGTATTGGTTAGAGATGGTTGATTCAAATCCGGATATCCGCACAGATGCGGATATCCACTGACATTTTCAGCGGAAATAGGCATCCGCATCCGCATCTGCCAGCGGATACCTGCTGGCGCTGGCGGGTATCCGCGCGGATATCTGCGGATACCCGCCCATTTACTGGTGGGCAAACGCGCGTCGGGAGGAATCCCTCCCGACGAGCTGGTGTACATACCAGCTCGCCGGGAGGAACCCCTCCCAACAAGCTGGATTTTAAACCAGCTTGTCGGGAGGAACCCCTCCCAACAAGCTGGATTCAAAACCAGCTTGTCGGGAGGAATCCCTCCTGGCAAGCTGGATTTTAGACCAGCTCGTTGGGAGGGGTTCCTCCCGGCGAGCTGGATTATAGACCAGCTCTTTGGGAGGGGTTCCTCCCGTCAAGCTGGTATGTACACCAGCTCGTCATTGGGAGGGGTTCCTCCCGGGGAGCTGGATTTTAGACCAGCTTGTCGGGAGGGATTCCTCCCGACGAGCTGGTCTGTGTACCAGCTTGTCAGGAGGGGTTCCTCCCGACAAGAGGGTATGTACACCAGCTCGTTGGAAGGAATCCCTCCCGACAAGCTGGTGTACATACCAGCTCACCGGGAGGGATTCCTCCCGGCAACATGGCCTCTGCTCTCTAGGCCGAGGGGGGGCATTTTTTTTTTCTTTTTTTTTGGTAAAAAAAATAATTTCACTGTCTTGGCACTGGGTATCCCTTGGGATACCCGGATATCTGCCTGGATTTTAGGGGAAACAGGAAATCCGCACCCGCTGGCGGGTATCCGCTGGCACTGGCGGGTATCTGCCAGCGGATAACGGATATCCGCAAGGGACATCCTTCGACCATCTCTAGTATTGGTCATCATAGTTCTCTTTGAATTCTTTCTTTTCTCTTACCACAACTTGACTGTCTTTATTTACCACATCTCACATCATGTTTCCCTGGTGATGATACCTCCGAAATGTTCCCACCTGACTCATGTATTGCTGATTCAGCTTGATATCACGATTGGATGTTGAAGATACTTATACATCATACATAATTAGCAATTTGGTGTGGCAATCATAAACACACAGTGAGCGAGCACACTAGAGGGATCCAAGTTTTGATGAAATGAGTGAGCTCCCTGCCTTGGTTGATCAAATCCTGGTTCATTTCTGGAATCTGCCACTAAATTCTGCCCACGTTAGAGGTCTACAAAAGCAGTCATAGTGCAAGGCCTGCTGCCTGCACATAAGTTCAACAGTCTTTGGCACCCTCCATGAAGCTGAGCGAAGTCTGTTCTGGTCTGCAAACATTGTTGACCTCACATTTTTGTGTTACTAAATGCAGCATGTTAAATAATAAAATGGGATGAGAATAACGAGTTATTTTGAGACCAATAAGAGAAATGAATAAGGAGGTTGAGAAGAGAGTGAGACAGTTCAAAGAAAAGAAGGATAGTGCAGAAGATGAGAGAGAAGCGAGAGAATCGGATGAAAGCAGAAGTGATTGCTAAGAGTTGAGACTTGGTCCAATGGGTTGTCCAAAGCCAACACGGGGGGGGGGAGTGTCTGAGCTGCAAACTGATTGGAAAGATTTGTCCTGCAACACATAATCTGATGAGAATCTAATAGACTTGGAGGGTATTTTTTGCTTGCCTGTTCAATGAAACAGAAAACTCACAAGTATGCTTGGATGCATGTTGGGTGCTTAAGATTTTCTTCCCTCTTTAGCCGGTTTTGGGAAGTTTGAGGATCACTGGGTTCAATTGCTGGACCCATTGTTTGGTTGGCTCATCAGATTGATTGCGAAGCTCCAGTAAGTCATCCAGTATTGCGGTAATCAGCCGCTCTAGTGCAGAGTGTATGTTAGGGGTAAGACAGTGGATTTCGTCCAGGCCAAGAAACTGGTAAGAAACTCTTCCGGTGTCATCGACGGATGTCGGGTCTGTCCATGGTGTGACCCTACAACCGGTGGTCCTCAAGCTGAATAACAGAATGAGATAGGGATTTTTGATGCCTTCAATATTGGCATAACTTTTGGACCAGTTGGGACTCTGCTTCCAGTCAACGTCACCTGTCTGGTGTTTTGTTTGAACACCACAAAAGGTGATGTTTCTGTGTTCTAGCTCTGGAGATTCAGATGTGGGTGCAAGATAGATCGGAAAAAGCTTGTCAAGTCCAGGTTGCCCACTCTTGCATTGAACCGCAACACCTCGGTACAAAAGCTCCATAAAGTAGGCAGCGCTGGGCGTGTATGAAATTCGGGTAAAGTGGTTGAAAAATATCCGCCCTTGGTCCAAGAGTTGTGTTTTGTTGTCTTTTCCCAAGGGTTGCGTTTTGTTGTCTTTGTAGCCAAACTCCATTTCACGTGGGTCTTTCCCGCTTAAGGTGCAGAGGAAATCTTCCAATCGGACTGAATATCCATTGGGGATCATATCAGTAGTGTCACAAGGAATTTCCTCAGTTTTCTGCATAGCGTATATCAATATTAATCTGGTCCCATCTCTCCAGCGTCTCTGAGGTCAACAAGTCCTTTTTGGACTGCAGAAGTAAGAACATCAATACACTTAATCCAATACGTCTTGTTGGATGCAAGAACACGGTTGGCCGCTGAAGCATAGACAAACTGCGGGGGATAGTCGCTGACAATCAATTCTCGAGCCAGATCAATGAACATGCAATGTGCTGCGTGACGTGCAACAAGTTCTGAGTTGATGGGTGGCCCAGCCGGGTCTGGATCAAGGAGCCTAATATGGCAAAACATTGTGATTCAGACAATCCTGAAGGAGCCGATGGACTGTTCAGCAGTAATTTTGTCTCGGCAATCAGCGACGTGGTTTCGACGGCTGTCTCTGGTCTCTCCTTCACGATTTCCTTGAAATAAAGCCCATAAAATGGGCAGCCATAGCTAAAGAGCCGTTCTGGCAATAGCAAGTCATTCCATGAGCTTGGTGGTGCTTTTGGGACAAACACATTGAGTGATGAGATTCTGTAGATTGGCTCAAATGATTTATGGCCAAAGCCGCGGTGGCTTGAGCTACGGTCTTGGCTCTGGGACGGGTTGAAGTTGGCGATCTGTGGAGATGTATTGGTGAAGACGGCAAAGACCCCATTTCCGGAAGGTATTTCTGATAAAGCCTGACGAAGCACACAAAAGTATGGAATATCGAGCTCGGTGTCAATGGGATCGATCAACTTGCTGGCCTCGTCTATTGCCAGCAGAACCCTGAGTCTACCATCTTCTTTGGATTCAAGCGTTTGAGGCACCTTATGTACCGCAGCAACAAGAGATTTGGTGGGCGTTGAGGGGATTTGCTGCAGCTCTTTCAGTTCATTTCGGACGTCGGTGTTATATTCATCCTTTGAAGTGGAGTCAATTTGAAAACTGTAGTCAAACCACTCAGTTAATCGAGCTTTGAATTCTTTTTGAAGTATATCCGGCCTTGAAAAGAATTTAGAAACCGTGTTGAGGATCGCAGCCAATAAGTGAGTATAGTGCTTGAGCAAGCCTGAATCAGGTGACAAGTGTGGGAGAAAGTTATCCGCGAGTTTGGAACGAGGGGGCTGGCCAGTCAATTTCCAATCTCGGAGACAGATGTAGACTACGCACACGTGGGCAGCAAGCTCCTTGAGTAATTGGGTTTTTCTGCACATGGTCGGGCCGACGATTGAAGTGTAGGGTGCCTTGTATTGATTTTGCTGGCATAGGCCTGCAAATTCTCTGAGGGTTTTCAGGGTTGGGAGAACAATAAGATCGTGTCCCTTATATTCTGCTCGGAAGCCTTTCTGTACGATTGCGGCTGACCATTTGAGTTTGTCAGCCTTGGTGAGTATCTTTTTGGTGGGAGGGGTGGAGCCCTCAATTGCAGCAAGCATCACTTCATTCGACAATCCAGAAGGAGTGCCCGAGGGGAATCGGACAAAGTGAGCGCACCGGATCAGTGTAGTGATTTTGTCTTGATCAGCTTCATCGGTGAGTTCGAGTTTCTCCTGGAGGTAGACAAAGCCTCCCTGTTGACCTGAGGTAAAGTCCCTCCAGTACAGTGTGACAATTGCTTGATCTGTGAAGTTCAGTTCCAAAAACCAAAAAACACGGTCCAGTCGGTTGTTGTGTTCTCAGAGCTTTTCCACTTCAGATTGGTCAGGAGGGTCCAAGCAGATCAGTTTCTGTTCTGTAGCTCCTAATCAACCGAGGAGAATTACTTACATCCAGCGATTTTGAAAAGTGTATCAAATAACTTGGCTGCATCCTTATGCTTGGCGTGGAGAATCTTAAAGTGAGCGCATTCAGTGTCAATGTGTTTGGCTTGATCAGTAGCTTGTGATATCCTGCTTGACTTCTGAGAGGTTTGACAGAGATGTGGATCAGTATTCGAGCTGCAATTGTTTATGTGTAGAGAGAGGAAGCAGAGAAGAATTCTTACTCGGGCCATTGGTATTGGGCACAATTGATTGGAGGGCAAGACAAGGGTGAGTATGTAGGGAGGTCAAAGGCGGAGGTTAGCTTGGGGAGTTGGGAGAAAAGGAGCAGGCCAGCAGGCCTTGGCATCGAGCTGAACATAAGCCTCTCAATCGGAGGGCCCCGAGGGAACCCCGCGTCCCGATTCCGAAGGAGAGGCTTACCTGGCATACATTCCATAAGGACCCTGAAAAATTGATAATAGGGGGTATCAAATATAGGAAATCCACCATTAGAAACCAGTCACTTTTTTAAAAATATTTTTTTGCATCAATGGGCCCCAAAAGGGGTTAAATGAAGAACCAACATGTTTAAAAAAGGGTGGATTTTTTCAAACCAGTCAATTAAATAATGGTGGATTTGGTTATATTTGATACCCCCTAATATTGTGTTGAAAATTTATTAAAAATTCAACACAACTCCTTCTCACTTGCTTCCCCATGATGATAGCCTAAGGAGCCTGATTCCTGTTGAAGACCTGTTCTCCAAGCCGCTTACCCATTGCTCAAGCTCCGAACCAACAACTGGTCCTCAGCCGATTGCTTCAAGAATTTCTCAAACAAGTTTTGTAAATGTGACGCGTCCAAACATTAAATACCGTTCGGTGACTGTGATCAACATTTACCAGTAAGTCAGGCCACGCCATTGTATGTCATGTTTATGAATTAACGATTTTACTTTCTATAACTAGGCCAAAAGAAAGAAGAGATACGATTTTGCTCTTGTCCCTGACATTGACAATCTCCATTTGCTAGCACGCGGATACATCGGGGGTACCGCATTCGCCCCACAAATGGCCTTCTCGATGCCTCTCCTGAGTTCTCATAACCAGCTGATAAAGCATTCTATGGTTGGCAATCTACCGTCGAGCACACAAGTATGGCTTGAGGCAAAGTTGCCTGCGCTGCTGTCTCCTTCTGGCAAGGTATGTATGTCAATTGCTATAAGGGGGCATTTCTTACATATTGTGTACCGATCCTTATTAGAAAATAATGTATGCTTGTAAATACTTCGTGTTTCATTCCCAGCGACCAAGATTTCGCAGACAATTCCCGCCATCGTTCGAAATGTATCAGATGCTACTGAACCGAGTCGAAGATAACCCCAAGGTAATCCCGAAGCTAACGGAACAGCAGGCATTGGGGCTCGTCTCCTGTCCAGTTTGTGCTGGTCGGGCCGCTCGGGAAAACAAGAATACGAGCGGCTATAATGTCATCAATCCATTGCTTGTTGTTTGCCCTGAAGGTAACATCCAAGATCGCTTCCATTTCGAGACCGATAAAAACTACTTCTCTCGGGCTACTCTGTCCAAATCAGTCAAACCGGAAGAAGCAAATCAACCCTCAACTCCAGCCGTTCAGGCTTGATCAACCTACCCTCCTGGCAAGAAGCACGGGCCCTGGCTTTTGCTTATCATATCCATACCACTAGGCCACCGCTCTAACGCTTCTCAGCCAAGTTTCTCTTATCTACCATTTCCCCTCGCCATCGCTCTCAGTTCTGGGCCGTCGTTGTATGATGAATCCCGGAGACAATCGTTCCACCGGCTGTTCCTCCGCGTAGAAACCAAGAAAGTTTTATTCACTTCCCGTAGCTAGAAAGAGTTTCTAGTCTCACTTTACATCTGTTGTTGTGCAATCAAGAGTCAATTATTCCGTCGAGCATTTCAGAGCGAGGACTATCATCGCTGATGTGGCATTGTGGATCCATAATGATCCTCCTTGCACTCTGGAAAAATCGTTGTTTCCACACATCTCCTTTGGGAAGTGAACAAGTCTCTTGAGCGGGACTTCGCGGGTATTCATTAAAGGTTCAACGACACAAAAAGTTCGTCTCATCCCAAATGCGCAATCCAAAATGGGTTTATATGCCAAAATCTGGCTGTCATACGATCTAGTGTCTCTTTTGATCGAGATACGATAGTTATAATCTAAGAAAACATTTAAAAAAAATTTAAAAAAAATCGAACACCATTTTGACCACTTTATCAAATAAAGTTACAACAGTCTCTGAAATGGAGTAAAAGAAATCCTTCCACAATCATTTAGAACTAATAATACCATTTTCCGGACAAATCTCGTGGCGCCGATCTCCCTTGGCTTCGACGGACCTGTTCACCTGAGAGATGATTACGAAAACAATCATGATCGAATCGAGCAAAGCCCGCACCAATTTTAGGGAAGCAAAGCAATATTGTCAAATCTAATGTTGTTGGATGATCTCAATGAGTAATACCACCAACCTTGCTGTAATTCCCTCGGGGCGCCTGACCCACTAGGGTAGCTGGCATACATTGATGCTTCTTCAACGTTGCCAATGCCTATCTCTTGCGGGTACCTTAGCTCATGTGGATTGAATCTAGAGCTTTGGCTTGCGTTGGTATCTGCTTGCAATGAAGTAAAGAAGAGAAGCAATCTTGTCAGCTCCGATAGTTTTTGGATGATCCCAGTGAGGAACACCGCCAACCTTGTTGTAATTCCCTCGGAGCGCCCGACCAGTTAGGGTAGCTGGCAACCATCGTTCCTTCTTCCACATTGCCGATGCCCATGTAATCCGGGTTCCTCGGCTCGTGTGAATTGGATCTAGAGCTTTGACCGGGGTTGCTGTCTACATGCAATGTACAGAGGCACCGCGATTCGGGCTTATGGATAGAAGTTCCTTGGGGGGCAAATGATGGGAGTGGGCTATGGTTCTGGTGTTGAAGCCCAGCGCAGTTGGAACAATTACACTGGTGAACGGGGATGATATTGGGAACTCTCAAGTGGGGATGACTTGGTGAATAGTGAAAGCCTTCCGTAACCGTATAGAGAGGAGTCGACGGAGTCAAGCCGAGGACCGTGGACTTTGCAAGGTCCACCACATGGGGATAAGTCGTCAAAATCTCAACCTGCTCCCTCATCGACCGCTTGAAGGCCTCACTTGGAAGAGGGAGCTGAGACTGAGTGGTGAAGTTGGACTCATCTCTCGAGGTCGTCGAGCTCGGCTGAAAGGCTGCCATCATCTCGGGACTCATATGGAGCGATCGAGCCTTGGCAAGTTGCATGTAACCCGGCCCCCTCAACATCTCTTCCATTGTCTCCCTCATCATACGCTTAGCGTATTCCTCTACATCCTCTGGAATCTCCGTCATCGCGCGATCTGCATTTAATTGAGAGTTCAAGATAGAGGAATGATCAGGGACAATTCCCCAAACATTAAAAGAAGCCTCGGATAAATTAAATTCTATTTACCTGCTTCGCCTGGCATTTGCTCGAAATTCTCTGGAATGGCCGGGTATTCAGTTTCGTCTCTGGTACCTGGCATATCTCAAGCACAGGGTAGGGTGAAGGAGAACTTGAATTCAGATAAAGCTACCAGGTTAATTTGAGCATTGAAGCTGGCAAGATTTACGTACCACGACCAGTAGATCGGAGTGGAAAGCTTGTAGGATTCATGGTATCAAAATAGGTTTTTGCAAGGGTAGGGTGTTGAGCAGCAAAGGATAGGTGATGAGCAGGAAAGAATGGGCGATGAGTAGCAAACAATGGGTGATGAGTAGCAAATAATGGGCGATGAGTAGCAAATAATGGGTGATGAGTAGCAAGGAGTTGGTGATGAGTAGGAAAGAATTGGTTGGTTGGTGAGTCCGATGGGGAAAGAAATGGGTTGGTAAGGGTGGGCTTTTAAGTCTTTTTTGCAGCTTTTTTTGCTACTACCAAGAGGAAGTAACTGTTAAAGAGACACAGGCCGACTTCCCTAGTGTAAGCCTTCTTTCGTCAAAAAGGTAAATTCTACCTGATGCTACGGTGGGTTAGAGAGACTGAGAGGGGGTTATTAGGGGTTAATAGCTCAAATGTTTCCCTTAGTTTGTATCAAATGCGCAACCTTGTTGTCTTGAGATTTTGAACAAACTGGCGCGTGTCTTAATTGTGCAACATCAAGTTAGCGAAAACTGAATGTAAACCACATGCAACCATAGCTCACAACTAGACGTCTCCCTAGCTTCTATCACAGCGTAGCTTAATTTTCATAGATGTATCCTTTTAATGAAAGCTCGTTTTATGCTCTTTTGCTGCTCGAGTCTTCTAAGGTTTCGCAAACTTGCCAAGGTTGAATTCTAATTTGTTGCCTTTAATGCTCTTTTTCTTTCGGCCGACCTAAGAATTTGGGAGCTCGGTGCTACATGTAATCACTCCGAATTTTCCTGGCTATGTTGAGTTTGGAAACATCTGAGACAAACTAAGAGGTGATAGATATCCGAGGCGGCGGAAGAATTACATTGGCTCCTACTCTGAACGACTGAGCAAGCTGGGGTGCGATTGGGGCTGAGTATTTCTCGGTAAAATTTTTTGGATGGATATAACTTAGGGACTAGCACCGGTTTGATAGTCCGTTGTGTACCTTGGTGTACCTCGAATTGATGGTGCCGTTGGCGCCATGTTTAAGGGGCATATACTGAACAATTTGCACCTTGGATTCACCCAATTGGTGCAGCAAAGTCCTTTGTTGTGCTAGCTAGAGCAAAAGGGCGTCCTTCAAGACCGCGGCTCAAACTTGGAGGCAATTTTTTGATGTCAGGGAATTTGTTAAGCTAGGTAGTTCGCTTGGCCAGGTGTATTCGTGTCCAACAATTTGCGTGCAGCATGCTTCATGGAAGCGGCAACGGATATGACCGTCAAAGGGGGTGTCGGATAACGCTTGTCAGACGGCTGCTCATGTTGACAGGAACCAAGGCGTCCAACATTCTCGAGCTGAGCAGCACACAATGTGGCAGATTGACTACTCGTATCTTTTCCATTTTGCCAGTTGAACCGTTGAGCGACGAACTGCACTCGACTGGGTCGCGCTTCGCGGCCGCCGCGATCGCTCGCGCTCCACGGGCACGGGGAGGACTTGTGATTTGCCCAACTTGCAAAGCCGCTTTGCTCCGGTTTTTACAACACACATCTCCAAATATCCTTCTTCTACCTGTCACAAAAAAGAGGTGAGAATTGATAAACAATGAGCTTGGCATAACTAATTCTCTTTGTGCCTGACAGTAGGAACTCCACCCTACCCGCTATATTAACGCTGCCAGAGTCTGAATCCGTTAGTGATACACATTGTCAATCCCTGTTGGCTGGATTCCAGAACCTGTTTCAATTCAATATGTAATATTTGAAATTTCAAGAAACTCATTTTCATTTACACATAATCATTTTTCGTGTGAGCCAATCAATTCCAAGTATCATCTTCATGGAAACATCAAGTGAAATTCAAATCACTGTCGGACTGGATGGTGGTTCCAGTCCACACTTAGACAAGGCTCAGAATAATCTGCCATGGAATCTGGGAAAATTTCCATGAGGTTTGGAAATTTTGTAAAAAAAGAAAAGATAAAAGAACGTTAGGCAGAAGTGATCAAGAGATACCAAAGGATTTGATAATGTGAGCAACAATGGGCTGCTACCCTAAACAGCCCACTGAAATGAGCATAGCGGCCCCCAAAACAGCCTGCTAAACCTGTAGTGTGAGCACGCTGTTAGTGCAACGACACTGCACTACAGCGCTTTTAGCGGCAAAAAAAGGCTCAAAAACTGCTGAAATGTGCTGTAGTGTAGTGTAGTGGGCCCTTTTTTGTGGCCTACACGTGTAGCGTTAGCGCTTTCATGGCAGAATTCTTCTGCATTACGCTATACATTAGCGGGATTCTGCAGCACTAACACTACTGTTAGCGTAGTGGGCCCATTGTTGATGTGACAAAAGTAATTTCAGAATTTGGGCATATTTTTGATACATTGATCAGCTCAGTTCCCACGAATGGAGTGGATAGGAAGGGTGCCAGGGAGGTTTCCAGACTCACCAAGAATAACAGAGGAACCACTGATGATGGCTTTGCAATAGCACCAACCACAGCTATTATGCTGGTTTTCTGCCAGAAGATCAGCTTATAACATAAACGCTCTTGAAAAAAACCCCTCATGTTTCCCATTTTTCTTCCAATGAATCCATTATAGGGGCTTGGCTCATTGAATCCCATTGTAAGAATTGGAGAGTCGACTCCCAAACCCCCAAACCCCCCAAACAAATCCACCGTTTTCCCCTGATGTTGGGAGGCAATCCCCCAAACCCCTCAGCAAGTTTGGGATTTGGATCTCCAATGTTTTTAAATAAGAAAAAAAAAATACAAACCCTCAAAGGAGTTGGGAGTCAATGCCCCAAAACCCGCTGGGTCTTGGGGGTCAGAAAACCAAAAAGAGCCCCAACGGCCAGGAAGATTCCTCATGGCTGCTGATAGCACACCCTCAACAGCCAAGAGAGACCCTTCAGGTGTTTGCATTTTTATTTTATCAAAAAAAAATTTGGAGATCTGACTCCCAAACCTGGTGACGGGTTTGGGGGATCAACTCCCAATTCTTGGGGAGGTTGGTGGGATATTTGGGGGTTTGGGAGTCGGCTCTCCAATTATTGGGAGTTGATTAGCCACCAATACCCTCATGATATATCTAGCTATTGGATATGATAGTTTAAAAAAAGAAACATTTGATCGGTTTAGGGGGTTGGAGGGAGACCAAAGATTTTCACATTGGCCCTCAGTCAACCAAGCTTGGCAGTGCATATTTTTTCTGGGGTACTGAAACCCCTGCACTACAATAAATTTGGTGGGATTTCGTTTTTCAGTAGTCAATTCTGCATACCATATTATAATTACACCTTATAGCACCTACATTAGCTGAAGCCAGTTTCCAAAAGAGACCTTCTTTGAGCTCCACTCCAGCTCATGGGAGCAAAGTACTGAGGCTTAAAATCCCCACCAATTCAGATGCAAAAAAGGTATAAAATTTTGATGGTATGTATATCAGGGGCATTGAGGAATCAGGTTTTGGGGAGGTAGGGAATTAAGCGGCTTGATGTGATCATCTGCAAAGATGAAGTGTAGCCTTCAGTGTGTATTAGGAATCACATCTTGCAAGCAACTCCCTCCCCAACCAGAGCTTGCAATTATTGCCTTCATTGCCTGTTAAGCGGGCAAGATACATACTTGTTTGAAGTTTGGGCCAAGCAATTGTAGACTGAGGTGCGTGCAGAGTAGCCATCTGGTTTGTCAACCCGGGTGGGGGTATGAATCCGCGGGGTTCTGGTGAGCGCTGGGTTCCGACCTAACTTAACTCCCTTCCCTTCCTGGTCGGAGTGGTAAACCACTTGTCGCATTGCGCCAACCGGAGGGAGGGACTTACGAGCAAGGTCCACCCCGCGGCCCAAGGTCATTAAGGATTTTGGTGGGGTTTTTTTTAAAATCAATCTCACACAAATTTGGTTGATTTGTTTTCCTCTAGTTTTCACTTGAGGGTTCTTTCAAGCTGTCCCCATCTATGTACTAATTTTACTAATGGTTAACACATCTCCTTCATTAATGATGATGACTGTAACATTTCCAATTTCAGATACTGTACAGTGCAAAATGTGTGGTCCAGGATGAGGCAGGAGAATTGTAATCACCAAAAATGAAAGTTGAAAGCCATCCAAGGGCCTAAAAAATCAAGAAAAATATGGAATGAATCTCCTTGATCTTGTGCATCTTTTGCCTCCCCAAAACATGATCATCAGCCAAAAAATGGTGCTGCTACACAAGATTGAAGAATGTGGATTTCCTAGTTCTCTTGGGCCGCGGGCTTGACTTAGCGCATAAGTCCCTCCTTCGGAGGGTCCCTGCGGGACAGCGTCCCCCCTCCAATAGGGGGACTTAGTTAAGTTAGGTTCCGACAGGGGCCGGATACAGCCGGTGCGTATCCGGGAGTGGCGGTGGAGCGTGTTTTAATGGGCAATTTTGTTGTGGGATGGGATGAATGATGCAGGTTAATAGAATTCCGAGCTACATAGCAACCACCCTCTGACTCTTGTGTAGCCTCTGCGTCCGACCAGCAGCCGTTGGTTTGTGGTAATTTGGTGTGAAGTTGGGATTGGAGGCGACATGCCTTGGTGGAGTTATAAGGATCCGCTTGATGTTTCGATTAATCCCAAGGACAGCCCATCTCACTGCTCTCGGCAAACTCAGGCTACGACCACCAGATTGGAACTTTCCAATAACTGCCATCCGAGCTTACCAGGTGAGTAATATTTGGTGGTCTACACACATAAATTCATCTACTCATCCCTTTTTGGTCGAACAGTATGTCACCTGGAGTAGCACTAGCAGACCATCAGAATCCGAGGAAGCCGCGAAGAACGAGCTCGTCGAGGGAGATATCGGTCATTCATCCTGTTTACCCATCGCTACCACAGATCAAGACCAGCGAGAGAATAATGGATCTGCAACCACCGGGAGATTGGTCACTTTGCGCACCTTTCTCGTCCACGCCCTGAAGCTCCACTCACCTATCGTCCAGCTCGATCTCAAGGCTGCCTTCCATCATCTTGTGCCATCGTCCCAGCAGGATTCGTCCGAACGCCCCAGAGACCTGGGCTCCAATCTAGACTCGTCTCAGAAGACTCCATCACCAGCAGCAGCAGCCCCCAAATGGACGCCCACCAGTCGATGCAAGAAGCTCGCCACTTGGCTCGAGGACCACCAGCTCAAGCAATCGATCTCCGACCCTTGCTTGTACCTTGGCCACCAGTTTCACGTGTTCTTCTTGACCGATAGTATCTTGGTCATCGGCGAGATCGAGAGCTTCAAAGCGCAGATCCTCGGCCCCCGGTTCTCGAACATGCCGAACTTACACGAGGTCGACACAATCCTGGGGATCCAAATCAGAAGAAAGGCAGACTCGAACAGTCTTTATCTTTCCCAGCCAAAGCAAATCAACAAGGCCCTCAGCGAATTGAAGATGTTGGACGAGGAGGCTGTGGGAGATGTGGGGACGCCGTTGACGCCCAAGCTCCAGCTGGTCGAAGCCAGCGACGAAGAGCACGAGGACTTCCTGAAGAAAGGCATGAATTACCGACAGAGTGTCGGGCTTCTGAACCACATTGCGAGCACGACGAGGCCGGATGTGATGTATGCGAGTTCGAGTCTGTCGCAGTTCACGGAGAAGCCCGGGACGAGCCATTGGGGGGAGCTTATGCGATGCTGGAGATACCTCAGGGCGACCGAGCAGAAGGCCCTCGAGCTCGCCATCCGTCCGACCGGCTTCGACCTCGAGGTCTGGAGCGACGCCAACTGGGCCGGCGACCCGGTCAGTCGAAAGTCCCACTCCGGCTATCTCGTCTGTCTCCATGGCTCCTGCATCTCCTGGAACTCCGCCCGCCAATCAACCGTCAGTCTCTCCTCCACCGAATCCGAACTACGCGCCCTCGTCGAAGCCACTCAAGAACTCATCTGGCTCCAACGCCTGCTCGTCGAACTCAACAATACTTGTCCTTCGACTTCTCATCAGAAAACCACCCTCTCTCATATGAATTACATCGACAACAACGCCTTGGCTTGCTCCCTTGCCTCCGCGTCCTTCCATTCCAAAACCAAACACATCGACGTCCAAACCAAATGGCTCCGAGAACATGTGCACACCAAGGCCCTGTCTTATCAATGGATCCCTACCAAATCCATGCTGGCTGATTGTCTCACTAAGCCCGCCCCCAAGGCCGCCTACTCGTTGTTGTGTTCCAAGGTCTCCCTCAATTAATCCCGCCATGCCCGTCGCCCTCAACAAATCATTCCCTTGTTTTCGTCTGTATGTGTCTTACATTGATCACGTTTTTGGGGGAATATCTATTCTTACAATCAATGGATCCCAGGAAAGCTTCCTGGATGATTGGACGCAGCCGCCCCCCAAATAATGACGGGCCCATCACATCCGGCTGTCTAGTGATGTGGTTCATCTAGTGGTAACGTCGTCATACAACTACATATTCCTGAAGTGCCTCTAAACTCTCCTGCCCAGTCTGCCTTATCCCTGTGAATGATGGGGCAGCTGGTTCTGTTCTATGTACCAAAATGTAACACCGGGCCCTGGCACTGAGTTTTCCACGCACCTCTCCTGACCTGGTGTGCCAAACCGTGTTGCAAGTCAAAAGTCAAAGGATCAGTTACAGTTTCACAGAAGGTTTGATTTGTTGTATGGCTGGTGAGGTTGACCTTGGTATGTTGTATGTATGTATGTATGTACACATCTGTAGTTACTTTGTCATTGTGAGGTGTGGGGCACATGGCTGTATTATAAAGGTGGTGGTAGTGGCTCTTCCTTCCTTTCTAGTTCCCCCAGGAAACGACCTTATTTTTTTTAACAAAAAACATCCCATTTCACAGAGCAATTTCCAATTATATACTTCACTTCCTATGCACACTAACAACAACAACACACACTCCATCTAGATCTCCTTGAAAAAGCCTTACTTAAATTGGATTGAACTGCCTCAGTGAGAATGTATCTTACCAGGATGATGCATATCAACCTATTAGGCCTATCAATATCCGCTCAAATTTCGTGTGGTATGGTTAAGTCTTGGCCAGGTCAGAAGTGCGACGGATGTCAGTAAGCTTTGAGATTCCAGTGGACAATAATCTGATCCGTGCAAAGAAGAATTGTAAAAACAGAAGAACTTATCACTAAATTTCTACTCTTGATTTTGCACACAGCTAGTGACATGGTTGATTTGGATCTGGAGTCACTGAGAAGTGACTGGAATGAAAGTGGTTATGGCAGCAGCAGTTTGGGACAACCATCAAGGATGGGAAGATCAAAAGAGATTCCTAATTGTGGCTTGGAGGCTGAACCAGATACAGGTAAAAGATTTCTCCCACCTAGCCAATTGTCTAAGCACATAAGTATTGTTTTGACATGCATTGGTTATTTTTGACAGGACTGTCCCTTCTTACACTCCATCACAAGGACTTGCTTTCAACTGGTAAGTGGAATCGTGATGGAACTGTTTAATGCTGTATAATATCCTGCTGAGAAATCAGTTTGCTTTCCAACAGGACGTGATGTGGATATCCCTGGAATTGAAAATGGTGAGAAGCTGCCATCTTCTACATCCCAAATCCTTTTTCTTTCTCTGGCTTATTGGTATTCACGTTTTTCTTCCTTTGAGTACAGGAGGATTGGAAAATCTGAAGAAATGTGCCTCCAAAACACTTTCTAGTATGAGAAGTTTGAGGGCTGAATTTTCCAACCTGAAAGATACGGAAAGTGAAAGGAGAAAAATAGGACATCATATGGATGAGGTTGAGAGAGCGGTAAGAAACCTGTTCCACAGAAGGATTATAGAGCTCCAGGACAAGCCGTACCTGTTTTTGGGCCATAGCAATGAGCCCATTGCCGATGATAATTACCAAGAAATCTTCAAGATGGCAGGAAAGGAGTGGCTCAAAACTGCTGCAAATTTGAAAGCATTCTCACAACTACTGGACATTAAAGACCATCCCAAAAGAAGAGTGATGTTCAAAAAGTGGTGTGATATCATGATGAAGTTCTTTGTGGATTTGAAAAAACACAAGGTTATTCATGCAGAGAATCTCGCAGAGTTCCTCAACAAGGATGACCAGGGAAAGTTCATAGGTTTTTATATCTATGAAAGGAGCTTTCCTGAGCATCATCTGCATGCTGCATATCTCACCTTCAACATCAGATTGAGCTTGCAGGAGGGGTCGCCCTTGATGAATGCACAATATGTCTCAAACTGTTGGTCCTGTTCTTTCTGCAATCCATCTCATCCGGAAATGTTTGTTTTACAAGTATTCTTTTTTGTTAAAAAAAAAAACATTCCTAATCATTTTATATCTACAGTTTTTGATACAGTTGTGAATAAGGATATGTGGGAAAAAATAGAATTCAACTATTTGAATTCCTTGGTGGAAAATAACAGCCAGTATGCTCAAGAGCAGGGAATCAACCAAAACATCTACTTCATTGAGATTAAGGGACACTTTCATGAGCTCGATCCACAAATCAATACTCCAGAATCACTGCAACCAAAGATCAAGCCTTTCTTTGAATTATTAGTTGAATACATATCCTCACAGATAATTTCTGAAGAAGATTTTCTGACAGATGATGATCTCTGGGAGCTCAAGATACTCCATGGAATGCTATTCTATGTGATCCGATTTCATGTGGATGATCTACCAGCCCGATTCCTCCAAGAATTCATGAAATCAAACGATTTCTATCTTGTGAGACTCTTTGAAGAAACAATGGGATTACTCTCCAACCTCTTTCATTTGTTTCATGCAGTATCAAAGGATGTATTCCAAACCTCAAAATCAGCTCAAATGGATGAAGAATTGAGTGAGATGTTCAATTTCTCAACTCTATTGATAGACTCCAATCAAAGCAGAAACTTTTCAAACTTTGATCATGTCCCAGAAGAGGAAATCCAATGTCTCAAGTCACTAGAAGATGTTAACATTCTGGATGCTCGCTTAACTGAGATACACACTGAGCTCATAGCTCAAGTTCTTGGGGATTCTGAATCTGAAGCAGTGAAGAATTCGAGAGCAAAATACAAGAAGCAGCTGGGAATATATTGTTCCCATTTGGATAGAATTGCTATGAAAATGTACCAATGGACATCGGATGTCCAAGACCCCAAGTGTTTTCGTGCTCATGCAGCCTTTGAAAAATTGTTCCTTGATGTTTATTTTAAAAAAAATATGCTTGAAAGATTACACAAACTGTTCAATTGATTTCTTTGTTGAACAAGGCTGGTTGATCTAGAAAAGAAACTGGAGCAAAAAATTTAAACATACCTCATGAATAAATGCCAAAAAGATAGAATTTTCATCTTTTTAAGGCAGTATTATTGAAGGCATTAAAGCAAATATTGATGGTTCTGCATGACAAACCAGCCAAGTTTTTCCCTTTGCAAAACTTCTTTGAACTTGATGATGTTGTGTAGAATGTTGTTCAAAAATCGAATTTGAAACCCAATATTGGATGTCATTTCTCCAGACAATAGAAAGAGAGAAGCTGGTAAATGATGCTTAACAGGTAAAACAATATCCTCTCCAAAATCAGCCAACTTACAGCAGAAATTTTGTGAAGATAGTGATAAAAAATGACTGCTTGGTTAAGTTGGTACCCTGATAACAAAATTGTATGTTGGTCTTTTTTTCAGTTGAAATTTCTGTCTGAAAGTGTGGTCAATTGCCAAGTAAAAGCAACTTTATAGCCAGAGTCACAATGTCATTTAGGACTCAAGAAACTGTAAAAAAATCTCCATGAGCATTTCTCACAAAATGGTTAGCTGTGTGGTTTGAATAATTCTACTTGAGCTTGTGTTAAGGTGGTCAAGAGAATCAGCATTTTCTATTTTTTTTTCTCCCTTGTGTGATGAGTATAGAGGATACTGATTCTATGAGAGCATCCACATAATTGGTCAAGTTACACAGGATTAGTGAGCTTGGATTAGGACAAGATTAAGATGATCTCGGCCTCCAGCCGCATCAGTGGTGGCTGAGGTGGTTTAAATCTATGTGTTATGTATTTGAGGTCAGTTGATGCGACTTGATTGGAGCTAGTTTGTATGTGTTCATGCCTTTTGAATATGCATGCAGGACTTATTCCCAGGATTAGTGGGGTGTAGATTTAGACCCAAATAGCTCCAAATGGAGATCTGGATCAAGTTGATCCTGTCTTAATCAGATCCAATGCGGTTGCGCAGTTGGATTAAGTGCCTTAATCCAAGCTAAGTTGACGACTGATGTGGATGCTCTGAGTATCTGGCAAGCAATATCTCTGCAATAGTCAACGGCTGGCTTTGAAATGGATCTGGTATGATTGTAGTGATAACCAAAGCTTACTACTGGGTCCCCATGGCCCGCAAAGTGTGGTGCCAGCTGTGGTGAGGCTGACATCCTGAAAGACTTGTAAGTTGCAAGACAACCAAACAATCCATTTCATCAGTTGAAGGTTGACAGGACACCGGTGAAGTAAATTGTGAGATCTTTCCAATCAAGCAACTCAGATGGAATCTTGGAACAAGGGTACAGGGGTGAGCTTACAGTCTCATAACTTTCTCTAACAAGCAAGCTGAAAAATTAGGGAAGGGCATTTTTAACCAAGCTGTTTGGGGAGTTTCTCCTGTGCTTTGATTCAGAAATTTGTTCCTGGATTGCTTGAGATGCAGGTGTGCAAATATTGGACCATGCAACACTGACGATTTCTGGTGATTACCCAGAGGAGGACAAATTGCTCAAACTGAAAAATGAGGTTCCCTAAAATTTAAAAGAGATCATATTACCCGCACTGCAAGAAAAGTTAAGTTTATTAGCAATCAGTTTCAACCAATTTGAACCTCCAGGAAATAATCCCAGCTCATGGTACAAAATGTTCTTGAACAACTTGATGGGAATCAATGAGGTGTTGGAACATTTAGATTTATCAATAATGACTATTTGAAACACATTCAAACCCAAAGAAGGATCTCTAGCCAACAAAACCAATGTGGAGCATTTAACTTGCTACCAAGTCAAAATAACTCAACAGGGTTTTGCGGACTTCCTTGATCACCTTTGTGGTATGTTTTACAAATGCACAGAATTGTTCTCTGGTTCCACTCTAAGGGATCCTTTTGGTGGTGTGATTGCCTCAACTACCCAAAGACACAATTACATCAACCCAAATATTACCAGACACATCCCAATACTCAGCGACAACATCAATTCTCTGAATGAATGGCTCCAACAATCTTTATTGAGTGTGTCAAAGAAGGAGTAGCAAGAATTACTTGATCTGAAGATTGAGCCCTTGTTGACCCCGCTTCAGAAACCAATCCGCTTCAAAGCTGACAGATCCTATATCTCAGGAGGCAAATTGGTGTTGAGATAGTATGGCAGTTGTGTCACCTCAGTTACCCTCAACAATTGGATATGAGCCGACCGTTGTAAATGGGACTATAGGAAAATTTGTCCAAACTGCCATATTTCAACTGATCATAGTGTTTCAGATATACTTCAACAAACCGATACAATCCAGCAGCCCTTTCCTGTTGATTTTTGTTCAACCATCACTGAACATCGGAGACAGTCAATTGAAACTATTACTCCAGTATAGCACTAAGCTTGATCAAGACATGCAATATTTGTCATACAATATTACATTTTGGCCAACCCGTTGTTGGGAAGCTGTGGATATTGGGTGTATATTATGCACAGCTTTACCCACTTCTCAGCATGAGTAAGGCCTGAGATGATGATTCAAAGATGCCATGCTCTAGCCGTGATTTGAAGGAGACCTGGTGGGAGCTGATTCAGAAAGTGATGAAGTTCAAATTTCCTTCTTCAAGCACCTATGTGATGAGTGCATAATGCAATGAGAGAGAAGGTGCATTTCTGAGGGTTTCTGAGAGAATGTCTTCAAACTACACATGGATGAAAAGCATGTTTGTGCTTTTCTCCACAGCGTACACCTGAGGTGTTTGTTTAAAATGGTGCTTGCTCAGGAATGCACAAGACTGAGGGAAAGCATGGGTAGAATGCTGATGATGATGATGTAAAATGTCTTCAAGAGATGAGGTTCAAATGGGTTGAGGTTATCATAATTGAATTGGGATGCACTCAACCAATTCAAACTTGCTTGGATTCCAACCAATGAAATATAAATTGGAGGTATGCACCTTGGATTCTTATTTCATTGGTTGAGATTCAAGAAAGTTTAACTTGGTTGAGATTCAAGCAAGTTAAACTTGATTGAGTGCATCCTAGTTAAACTGGGATACCCTCAAACTAGCCAATCAATGATTATGCTGATAGTGTAGCACTGTGAAGACTTTTTGAAAAAGGCATCAAGGCAGTGTCACCAATCATTATGAGATCCAAGGAAGGGAAAGCTACTGCATTTGTAAAACAATTCCCAAGAGTTGGGAGGAAAACTACCAGCCTTTGGGGGAATGTTCCCATGACCATCTCTCAAAGGTCCTGGGAGTTGTCCTCCCAATTTCCCTAAGGGGTACTGGGAGTTGTTGGGTTCATTATATATATATATATATATATATATATATATATATATATATATATTTGTTTGACTTGGGGAGTTGGCAGACCAAAACAGCGCACCAACTCAGGAGTTGTGGCTGGAATCATTAACTCTTTCCAAGCAGTTCAATGGCCTACTTTGCAAGAAGTCTTTCCACTTGCTGAGTAGGTCATTGACCTACTTGGCAAGAGGTCTTTCCTCTTGTCAAGTTAAGGCATGGTCCCGGGGTTTGGGACGGGGCTAGAGGGTCATCCTGAGGAAAAAACCCCGGGAATTCAGGGTCTGCCCCAAAGCCCCGGGGCTTGCTGCAATTTTTTTTCCTGAATCAATGATGGCACTACGGCCCAGCACTACCTACCTATCTCAGCCACAAGTGCTGTGTTGGGATTGGTTTTTGTTTTTTGGCCTTTGATGGCCCATTGCAACCTTTTTTTTTTCTTTTTCAATAAATCCCACATGTGAAAATGAAAAAAACACTGTTATACGCGCCAAAACAAGGAAAAATCAGGGAAAATCCCTGTAAACAATGAACCCCGGGGTTTTGGGGTTTTGTGAGGCCCATCCCGATTCCTGAACCCCGGGGCTTGGGACCGGGGCAGCCCCGGAAACCTGAGGTTCGGGACCATCCCTTATGTCAAGTAGGCCATTGAACTACTTTGCAAGAGTTCTTCCCCCTGGTAAAGTAGGCCATTGACCTAATTGGCAAGAAGTTGTTCCTCTTGTCAATTAGGCCGTCGACCTACTTGGCAAAACTTTTGGCAGTAGTTTTTCCAAGGCCCTATCATGGCAAAAGGGATTGTATTGTTTACAAATCCACACAGGAAGTTCAACTGGAGGAAACCAATATAACATTGTTCTTCCACACCATTTTTACATTGGTTGGGCCCACCAATACATTACAACAAATTAGGATAATGTGTTGGTGGAGCCAATAAAAAATTGGGTTTTAAAACCCAATTTAATACTGGTTGCCTCCGGTTGACCTTACAGCACCCCTTTGGCAGTTTATATTTATCAGGTATCATCCTGGTTGGTTTGATGGTATTGCCTCCTTACAAACCATCTGAAGTCATGGCACCAAGAATTCTAGACTCCAACTGCTGGCTGATCAAGTTTGGCAACCTAAAATGATATTAAACTCATCATTGTTTCACATGATCAATAGACTCTGTATCATCAAGCAAGTGAACCCTTGTATAATTGGTAATGTTGTTTCTGAGATTTCTTCCTGAAAATCTTGTTTCAATTTTACAGGTCATAGAACCTGTAGCACCAAACATTCGCTCATGAAGTTAAACCATTGATCAGCAATTGTGTACTCCTGTCAGAGCAATGAGCACCTGTACAGAAAATAAGAAACAGGAGATATACCTTCAGGAGACCAACATTCAGCAAGTCATACTTATCCAACAACACAATCAAGATTGATGCCTCTAGAGGCTCATTTCATAGTTAATTGCTTCTAGCTGAAGTACAATCTGGGCTGACTTTTAGTTCTTCTATACCACCTCAGAAAAACACATCCATCTTAATTTCCTCAAAATTCATACTTCTTCTGTTTCTGTTGTTTCAAGGGCACAACACAAAAAATATGCACTTGAATAGGATTCTACAGCTCTGCATCTTAGCGTCATCAAGACCAAATCAAATTTTCCTAGGTGTTGTTGGATCCCCAGTTGGAGATGATTCAAAAATATGGTTAGATTTTGGGAAAGGTAAGTTTAAGAATCCTTTCTTTTCTTGAAAACAGAATAATGCAACAGAAAAGCCTTACATGCAGGCAAAATAATGTTTTGATACAGGTAGTGGTAAGGATTTGGATCTCAAGATCAAAGGCGTGTCACATAGAATTAATCCTGGGAAGGTTAATATATCTGGTTGCAGCTTGGAAGAAGAGCCAGAAACAGGTAAGAGAATAGTTGTCTCAATTCAATTGAATTGATACTAATTTTTGGTATCAATTAATTGCTTCTTCACAGAGATATCTATTCCCCTCAATCATATGGATGGGGCTTCAATCAGTAAGTTGTATCAATTTGTACACTGCCATAATAATTGGCTAGGTTGAGAGATCCTGCTTAAACTGGGATACACACAACCTAGCCAATTATTTTGGAAGGATTAATCATGTCACTTGATAATATTCTATTGATATTTAGTTTATTAATCCACAAGGTCTTGATAATGGTAGTTCTGTGCCTGAAAGTTGTCAGTCCCTACTACTCCATTCATGAAAAAAGCAAGTCATTTTGCCCTAAAATTGCTTGTTTTTTTTTTTCTTAAAAACTTTATTTTTATTGAAGTGGAACTGAAAAGTCTCAAGGAATGTGCCTCACAAACCCTTAAAAACATCAAAATCTTGAAAAAGGAAATTGAAAATATGAAACTGGAGGAAAACCAAAGGGTTCAGTTAGAAAATCACTTTGATGATGTGGGGGAAGCAGTGAGAAACCTGTTTCAAAAAAAGATTATAGATTTTCAAGGTAAACCATACCAATTTGTGGGAAGTACTATGCCCATTGCAGATGATAATTACAAAGGAATCTTCAAGATAGTTGAAAATGAATGGCTTAAATCAGCTGCAAATTGGGAAGGAACCACAGATATACTGAAATCTGAAGATCATCAAAAAGCAAATTTACTATTCAATCAGTGGTGTGATTTAAGGATGAAGTTCTTTATGGATTTGCAAAAGCATGAAGTCATTCCTGAAGAAAATCTCTCAGAATTCATCAACAAAGATAATGGGGAGGAATTCCTCAAGTTTTATATTTCTCATAGAATATCTCCTCATCATGATGTGAAGTCTGCATATCTCAATTTTGATCTTAAGTTGAGCCTGAAAGAAGGATTTACCTTGCTGAAAGCAGATTATATCAGAAAGTGTCAGTCTAACCTTCCTTAAAAATATTTGAGTCATGAGTATATTTGTTTATCTAAAAGTCTAAAAGATTTGGCCATCTTATTGCAGTTTTTGATAAAATTGTTGAGAATTACACTTGGGAGAAGGTTGAATTCTATTTCCTATGTTTATTGATAGAAAATCAAAACCAGGAGTATCCCAGTAATTCTGTACAAAACCCAAGATTGGTCAAAATCAAAAAACTCTTCCTTGAACTAAACCCAGAAATTGGCCCTTGTAGAAAAAGTTTCAAACCAAGAATCAAGGATTTATTTGAAGCTTTGGTCAATTATTTATCATCAGATTTCATTTTTATAGATATATACTGGCATAAAGTTTCAAATGGAAAGCTTGTGGAGATTAAATTGCTACATGGCATATTAGGCTATTTCTTTAGATACCTTTCAGAAGTTTTACCACCTCATTTCATGGAAGAATTCAAAAGATCAGATAACTTCCATATTGTCAGGTATTTTGAAGAAACAATTGGAATCATTTCAACTATTTATCATATACTTCATGCCAGATCAAAAGACTTGTTTAATTTTCTCACACCAGAATCTATACCAAACAATTTGGAAGACTTTTGGATTTTTTCAACTAAATTGACAGACTCCAATAAACATAGAAAACTATCATTCTTTCATACCTCAGAGGAAGAACAAGAAAGTACTGATTTAGTGGATCATCCCACCAATCAGGAAACCAGATGGATTTTCATAAGACTTAACAACATATTCCAGTATGATTTCTGTGATGGAGCAAATTCCAAAGCAGCAGTAAGAAATTCTATGATAAACCTTGGCAGGTATTCCTTCTTCCTTCAAAGAACAAAAGATGAAATGCTCCAAATGAACAAAAGCCTGCAGCTGATGGAAAAGCCAATCTTTTTACTTGGAAAACATGCCCTGAAAGAAGTTCTTGATAGACTTGCAGTCTTTGATGATCAAATCAGTGAAGGCCTTCCATTCAAAAAATTCACTCAGATGAAATCCAATGAATAAAAAGGGAGCCAGATTGTTTATGTTTACAATGAATTCATCTGAATCAAATATGAATATCTCTCACTCATTCAAGTTGCAATTTCCATTTGAATATCTATAGATTTTTCTAAATATTCTAAATCATCATGAACACCTTTTAGATCCCTTGTGGAGATTGTAAAGTCTCAATGACCAGAAGGGATTCCTTCTGTTCATCAAGACTGTATGTTTGAGGGTTGGGTCAACTCTTCACTGTCTGTTGGATGGAGGCACTAGAGAGCTGACACAAGCTCAAGTGTTTTCTAGTACCGGGGTCTGTATTTCAACTAGTTGGTAGGAAACAGTTTCTTGTGAGTACAACTGAGAAGAGAAGGAAAAGGATGGATAGCCTGTGGGAATGAGTTCCAGAGAGGGAAAGGAAAGGGTCACTCACCTATTTGGTAGGAAACAGTTGCTACCAACTAGGAAAGGTGTAGATCAGCTAGGACTAAGTCTTGTCTTTGGCTTACATAATCCAACTGGACCCTTGTGAGGCCCATAAGAAGAGAGGGCACTCACAGTACAATCTTGATGAATGGAAGGAATCCCTTCTGGTCTTGATGACCAGATTGAATTGTTTTGAGTCATTGAGGCTGTGCAACCTTGATGGCTGGAGGGAATCCCTCCCAGCCGGTGGGGTATGGGCAAATGATAAATCCCCAACCTACCACTTACCAACAAGTGTTTAGGGCCTCAAATTCCCCCCCTCCCCCCCAAAAAAAAATGTTCATCAAATCCCAATCCTGCAGGGGGAATTGGAAGAGCAACTCCCCAGGACCTAAACAGATGATCCTGGGAGCTGTTCTCCCAAGTTTTGGGAGTTGTTTTTCCAAGACCTTATTGATCAAGTTCTCTCTCCTTCCTTGAAAGGGGGGAGGTAGAATGTTATTGATTAGGATATTGACAAGGTTTTCCTAGAGCCTGGAAGGGGGCCTGGACTGGAGCTGTCCACACCTCTTTGTAATGGCTATGATTGATGCACTATTGAGGGGCATCCAGCATCCCCTGCCCCTTGGGGTTATGGGCAGGCGCAGCAGCACACCCCTCTGCACACTGGATCTTGAAAGAAGAAGAAAAAAAAAACAGCATTTGAAGGGGCGTGGGGGAAATCCCACCCATGACCAGGGCTCCCCTTCCAGAGGGGCAGAAAGGGGGGATGGAGTCCATTGATCAACCCACTAGAATGTTATGAAGTAAATGGAACTGATCCAGCTTACTACTTGAAACAAATTGCTTATGATGGATCAAGGATTCCATGGTGTTTGCTCAAGCTTCAGATGAGCACTGTGCCTTTTTGTGACCAAACTTCCACTCATCAAGTATAAAGCCACTGCAAGATACCTGCATGATATCTTGACTCACAAATTCCATCCTCTAATTTATGCTATATTTATACTTCCCAGTAACTAGGGCTGAATGATTCCAAGAGTGTAGATAGAATGACACAAAATAGTAACTAGATGATGTATGATCATCATTAATTCACTCGAGATATTTTATCATTGTTCTTGACCTGTGTGGAAGATAGTGAGGGAGACTGTTAGTGAGACTTTCATGTGCTCCTCTTGTAATGAGGACATCCATATCAATCCTTCTTTGAATGTATTAGATCATTGACCATCCATCCATGAATCATTTCTCTTGCTTGAGCCCAGCAGGAAATGAGGATGAGGTTGTATTTTCCAAGTTTTTTTTTTTCTTTCTTTCTTTTTCTTTTTCTTTTCTTTTCTTTTTTTTTGATACCCCCCCCCCTATTTGTGTAGGAATTCATGATACCACCAACCCCAATGTTATAACTAACTTCCTTACAAGATCTCATTTCTCATCACTCAACTTGCAAGCATGGTTATTGATTTTTTGTAGCTGCAGCTTTCAGGTTTCTCTAGTTGTTCCTCCTCATCCATCCACCCATGGCTGGAGGACTTCCTGAGCAAACTTGGAGCCCTCACTGCAGACCATGTTGATCTACTACATAGACCTGAAGAGTCTTGATACTCACAGAGTAACTTGATCTGGGGGACTCACAGGGTTGTGTCCTCCACTACTAATCTCAGTAATGTGTCCATTCATTCATGCACCCATGGCTCAATTGTTTACTTTATTTCAAAGCCAGTATGTTTTTTTTTCTAAAGAAGGACTGTGCTCTTAAGATCAAGCTTGTTATACAACATCTATCCTTCTTTCTTTTAATTAGTTCTGAACAAACAGCTATATTTGATCGTGGATGATGTGCTAGACTTCCATAACAAGTCTGGTTTTGTGTTTACATACAGATGTTCTTCTTCTTTTTTTTGGCCATGTAAATGCATACAGAGTTGAAGTATATTGTGGCTCATTTTGGAAGGCACAATTCAGTCTGATGAGTTGTTTTGTTTGTTTGTATTATTGGCCTTTGCCTTTACCTTTAGCTGTATTGGAAGCCTCAAGTTGACTGAGTTGATGTTGGATTATGTAATCCGGTGCAAGCCCCCCTCGGGACTAAATCGGGGCTCCGGCCAACCCACTTTTTGTCTACAACTTTGGCTCGGCTCGGCTGCCCGGAATGAGAAGATTGTCGAGGCTTGCTTGTTCATGACCGGTTTTGTGAAAATTCCCAGCTTCTGCTCAGTCTCTCTTCCCTCAGCCCGGTTGCTCAGTCCAGAACCAATTCCAGTCTGTTTGCTGACCCCTCATCCTCACCCCAGCTCCTCATCCACCCCAACAAACACTGCCTCGCCTCGAACAAACAAATCACCAACACCAACACCACCCTCACAACAACCCTTCGACCACACACATTTACCCCTTCCCTCTCACCATTCCTCTCTACTCCCTACTACTGCACATTTTCGTCAACTATACTGAAAAGAAAAACCAAAGACTATCTATATATCCTATAAGCACTCCAGAGAACCCAACAACTAGCCCACCCTAAGTCACTCCCATCAAGAGTCCCGAGCGAGTCCCAGCCGATCCACTCCGTCTGCACCCTCCCTCTCTCTCTCTCTCTCTCTAGTGGTAATTACTTGAGTCGACCCTCATCATCCATATACCGTCCCGCTGCTTCATTCTCGGCCAAGGTTAAAAGGAGGCCCCTGGAAAAGGAAAACCCCAATAAAAACTCTCACACACAACTAAGGCATACTGTGATTGGCTTCTGTTTTTACCACCGTAAGACTCTTCCCTGAGATTCTGTTAAGAAACCCGACCTGCTTCGTCTCTCTCTCTCTCGGTCTCGACCGAGTACTTAAGCCGAAAGAACCTGAGCTGCGAGCCTAGTCTGAAGAACCCCGTCGTACACATACCCTTCAATCCTTCTCTCTTTTTCAGCTCATACACCCACTACTAGTCTGCAAGATCTCTCTCTCTCTCTCTCTCTCGTCGTCGCTCGTAAGAACAAGAAGAATCACTGGGGTTGGCCGTATCACCACATACACTCACTCACACACCAAGAGCATTGAAGACAGAAACTTAAAGGAGAACAGAGCGGCTTTCCGTTCGAAAGACAAAGACTCACATAAGCATAAGAAAATAACATACAGGTGATATTGTTAAGCCGAAAGAACTGAAAAATGAGTCGACATCATCCATACTCAGGCTATGATGAGAGCACGCCAGCAGGCCCGGCGGGGCATCGGAAGGGCGGGCATGGAAGTCGGGGGCACCAGCACCAGCATCACAGTCGGGCCAACAACCATGGAGGCCGAGGAGGAGCAAGAGGAGGAGGAGGAGGAGGAGGAGGAGGTCGACGAGGATATGGAGCTGGGAACCAGAATGCCGATGTCGGCTATCAGGCTCTGCATTCTGCCGCCCCGGCTCATGAGTTCGGCTTCGACAGGCTCTCGCCTCCCGTCTCTGCTGGCCCGCCTCGTGGCCCCGCACTTAAGAACTTCAAACATCGCCCCAATCCGAATAAAGGCTTCAATCATCTCAACCATCATCATCACAACTTTCATCATAATCAGAACCATCAGAATTATCATAAGCTGAAAAACTTTGCAAAGGCTGATCTTGGTACGCTTTTTTTTCCCTTTCCTTTCCTTTCCTTCTTCTTTTTTTCTTCTTTTTTCGGGTGGAGGAGTAGTGGGAGGGGGGGATGGATGGAGAGAGGGAGGATTATTAGTGGTTGCAGGAGCCGGAAGAGACCAATAAAAAAAGGGAATGATACCGCTCGAGACATTCCGTTCCAAGCAAGCAGTGGAGGGGGGAGGAGGTTGAGAGGGGGGGAAGAGCGAAGCGGTTGGGATCGATGAGAAGAAGATGCCAGCCAACCCCGAAAAAACTCGCTGTTTTCCGTCTCTGGACTTGATGTCTCGCCCTCCTTATAAGCACTTCTACATCTGCCTCGGACGAAAACTTCTGCATCGACGGACCATCATGCCTTCTTTATCTGAGGATTAAGGTCTCGGGTCCGGCCTCTGGTGATCTTATCTCAGCGCCGTGATCTCCCCTCCTTGGCCATCCCACGATCTTTGAGTATCGGGTCTATTTATTGTTCGGGCCGGGTGGAGAGTGAGAAGTGGCTTGGATGATCCTCCTTTATTCCCTCTTCCCAGTCGACTTGGCATGATGATGCTACGGATTTATTTGGAGTGACTGACGGCTGATTCTTCTCGTTTACTCGGTCCGCTCTCGTCGGCTCGGTTGTTTACACTCTTTTCGGTGGGACATGTAGCTGGTGAACGGGAGTTGTCGATCGATGAACGGATCCAAAGGGAACGGCCTTGTAGGACTCTGTTCGTTAGGAATGTCAAGGTCAGTCTTCTCTCTCCACATCTCACAATACACTCAGGAACATGATGATTGATCGGGTGACGGTTTTTTTAGTATGAGACGGATTCTCAAGAGGTTCGAGAGAAGTTCGAAGAAATGGGCGAGATCAAGATCTTCTTTGATTTGATTTCTACTCGAGGCATGGCCTTTATTACTTATGTGAGTCCATTAATTGATGAGTGGACAGTGGGTTTTTGCTTTAGGTTGCTGATTCGTAGATGTAGTATGACTTGAGGGCGGCGACGATGGCCAAGGAAAGATTGCAAGGGACGGATGTGTCTGGGCGGCCGGTGAGTAGATGAGTTTTTCTAATTCATTAGCTCTCTCATCTCACAGTCTTTGGGACTCCGTGGTTTGCAGATCGACGTGCATTACTCGTTGCCGAAAGATAACGAGCTAGAACGGCGGTGCGACCGGGACAAGAATCAAGCGACCTTGTTCCTATCCATCACCGATGGTCACAGGCCCATTAACGATAGCGAGTTACGCAACAAGTTCGAGACCTACGGCGAGATCAGGAGCATCAAACCTTTCAAAGACTCTCCCTAGTACGTGCCTCTCCCTATGAGCGGGCTTTAATCGGTTCAGTTCTGAATGTTCTCTCTCCCCTTGAACAGTCAAAGGTTCGTCGAGTATTGGGATACTAGGGCTTGTGAGAGCGCCCATGATAGCCTCGATGGATCCCAATATTTGGGCGGGACGCTTGAGCTCAAGTTCTCATGGGATACCGGCATGGTCCCGAAAGGAAGACCGTGAGTTTCCTGTTGAGGAACATTAAACAATCATACATTCTGATCAAGTGTTCGTATCTAGAGACTGGCGAGCGGGACAGGATGAAGACAGAACTGGGTTCTCCGGGCCCGATGAAGGTCCAGATTATTATGAGCACGACGACCGGGCGAGTTACGAGGATTATGGGCGTCAGAATGGGCATCAAAACGGGGCCGGCTCCCAGGATCGTTATAGCCAGCAGTCTTACAATTCATCATCTACCAATCCTGGAGGGGGCGCATTTGGAAAGCAGATCGATGAGCAGCGTCTCGACCAAGCCCATAAAGTGCAAGAAGTAAGCGTGCGCTCACTCGTGAAAGCTTACTCCGGGGTATCCAACTGATCTTCCCCCCTCAATCTAGCTACTTGCGTCCTTGACTAAGGCCGGCGCGGATGGCCATCTGAATAACGGAAATGCGTCGAGACCAGCTGCAACAGTTGTGAACAACTACCCGAGCGAGCCATCGGGCCCGAAGCCGATGAGCCAGTCGGGCTTTACGATGAGCAACCCGCTGCCGAGCAACTTTGTGCCCAACTACCCCAGCTATCCGGTCGGACAGCCGACGGAGTATAATGCCAGTCTGGCGGCGCCGACCAACCCGGGCACGCAGAACTACAACCAACTCGCACAGATCATGGGCCAGTTGTCTAGCTTCTCGGCCGTCCCGCTCCAGCAGCCATCCCTTTCGAACCCAACACCACCACCACCGCCCACGTATCCTTCGACCATCAATGAGGACCCTCGCCGACTTTCGGGCTCCGGTAACCCTTCCACACCGCTCGGTCTGCCGGCCTCTGTCCTGGCACTCTTACAACAGAACCGAGCAACAGCAGCAGGAGGAGGAGCCACCAATAACTCCTCTCCCATCGTCCCCACTAATCCGGCCCAACCACCCGCCTCTTCTTACACCCCGCCCTCCCAACCTCCAGGCCCATCGATCCCCACCGCGCCGCGTGCCATGCAAGCCGCCGCCGCGATCGCCAGTCTCTCTTCCGCTTCCTCCCTTCCGCTCCCATCCTCTCTCGCCCGCACTCCTTCGCTTCCTTCGCCCCATTTCTTCAACGACTCCACTCCCCCCGTCGCCGCTAATGGATCGTCTCCTCATCCTCAGGCCGCCGTCCAGCAACTCTTGGCTCTCCTCGTACGTCCCTCGCTCCCTCTCGTTTACTCCCCATGTCCCGTTTTATGAACTCCCCCTCTTTCTTTTCTTTTTTTTAGCAGCAACCACAGCAACAGAATCAGCATCAGCATCACCAACAACCGTAAATAAATAACAGTACCAATCACGTGCATACGGTCGTCGTCTTGTCCCACACACCCGCTATAGACTCACTCCCCCCCCCCTTTTTTTTGACTCGTCTTTTTTCTTTGGTTCCCGCTTGGTCTTCGTTGGGCGATTGTCTCCTCTTCAACTCTTGACTGCTCGTTGTTGTCGTCTTCACTGGCTTTTTTTTTTTTTTTTTTACTTTCTGTCTTCTTTCTTTCTTTCTTGCTTTTTTTTCTTTTTTTTCTTTGGACTTTTTGAGTACTGGGTATTATCTTACCCTTGATATTCTTTGGGCTGGGTCGTGTGTGTGTGCTTATTAGCCTTGAGGTTGTTGTTGGAACCTAATTATCAGGCTCTCGCCCTTTTTTTTTGGGCGAGGAAGGGGTTGATTAAGAATTCGTCTTATGAACAATTTGGCTTGTCGTTTTCTTTTATACTTTTTATTACGCTTTTTTATAAGATTCTATTCTATTCTCTATGCTCTTTCGTTTTATATTTATAAGATGATCAATTCATACAACACACTTTTTTGAAACCAAAAAAAAAAGGATAAAGAGATAAAGAGAACCAAAAAAAAAAAAAGAAAATCGTAGGAAGGCTTGTTAGGAGGTAAGCAAAGAACTTGTCAGAGAGACGACCCATGCACCCATCAACGGGTCAATAAGTATGCGCTGTGTTGTAGAATGAGCGTCTGTATCGGGCCTGTGACGTGTTTTCTCAATGGCCTTGCAGTCCATGTATTTAATGTCAAAATGAGAACATATATATATGTCACTTGTCTTCAGACAATACATTAACATCTCTTTGTTCTCACCCGCTCTGAAATCCACACAGGTAATTGGAATGGAGCTTTGCAGGTGGTTGCCATGCCAATGAGGAAAAACAAGCGGGCTGATCTCATTGGCAAGTGTTGAGTGCAACCAGAGCTGGTGATCAGTGGAATGGGTCATACTCTTAATTGGGTGCTCAGAGCAGCGGCTTGTCGAGTGTGCAAGCATCAGGGACTCTTCTCGCAGGGAGAGGACTTGGGAATAATGAAGCGGTTCCGCTTGAGGGAATGTGCAAGCTTTGGTGGCAGTCGATGCTGTGAGCACCTGCAGCCCTTAGTTTTCAATGAGTTTTTTTTTTCTCTTCATAGTTTAAATCTTGTATTTTTCTCTATGGAACTGTCAATTCAGAAATTTATTTATGTATCCCCCTCATGATAAAACAAATTCATGAAACTTTGAGTTTCATGATTTTCCGAGGCCGCTGACTAGCAAGGCCATGCCTTTTTTCGGAGTGCTCTTTTTTTTCACAGCCCGTCTCTTTTTTTCCAATGTTCATGCCCAGTAAATCTTTCACATGTGTTCCGTTTCATACGAGGGTATGGCATTATCTCTCAACGGTCAATTGCCAAATTAAAAATTTAATTGGCTGATAGAGAAAACACTAACAGACCAAGAAACTTACAAGAATTGAATGTTTTCAAAAAAATATAGAAAAATTACAATAGATACCGTGAGGAAACTGAATCAACAGGATTCTGGACATCATACCAGCGCTCAGCTGGGATCAAACAATGAGAGCGATAAAAAATTGAATGATTTTAAAATTGAAAACAAAGAATCCCTCCGCTTATTCTCGACATAGCCTCATGCCGACTTGTGTCGGTCAGGCATAAGCCCCGCTTGCACCTCACGCCTACGGGTGCTCGCGGGCTTTGTTACGATTGAGCCTGAGCTGATCATCAGTGGAATGGGATATGCTCTTAATTGGGTGCTCAGAGGAGCTATGTAGTGGTACTGATTGAGCAGCAGCTGTCTTCTGATCTATGTGCGGCCAGAATCCAATGTGAACTCAGAGGTGCTTCATAGGCCTGATGAGACTGACAAAGAACTTTTGATGTGCAGGTTTTTTTTTCTCCTTTTTGAAGTCGTCCGTTAACTCATTCTAGATTATTCAAAGATGGGCATCATTGGACTCGGAGGAGGTTGTGTTGGTTCTGTATAAGCCCCTACAACACCGGATTTGTAGCCTCTTGTTCATCGATCAGATTTGCCTCCCAAATCTAATCACACATGTGCATGTTGAAGCAGTCTTTTTTCCGTCGTGCTCGCGGCTTGCAATTTTGTTTCACTTGATCAAACAACCACCCTCTGGTTTGGGAAGTGGTTGAGCAACAACAAGATGAGATGATGCGCGTCCCATGCCAAGAAGGATGAGAGCGATCCAAGCGAAGATACACATCCCACAAGATTGTGCACAGCTCTTTAAGGAGCACCTTGCAACCCGTGTCAACTCGTGCCAACTGAAGCATACAGAACGCACATATCCCTTGCCACCAAGCTTTGCTTTCAACTGATCCCTGGTTGCAATAAATCCAGAGGTTCTTTGAAGTAGATCTAACAAGTAGTATGCAACTCCTCGAGATGCTAAACATCATCACATCAGTGCTTAAATTTGCACTCTCATACCATGCTAGAGTGAGCGGATTAGTAAGGTTATATAGTCTTTGTGGCGCCTCAGAGCTTGTAAGAACATTGCGCAGTCCACATCATTGAACTCTGTCAGACTGCTCGGGCAAACATTTTTCGAGACATTCGTGCCCCATCATGGCTCAATTATTCCTCTGGTTCCAAGGAAATTAAGTTTTTTGATGGGATGCATGGCCGCGTCATAGTCCACCTAGTATATTTGAATGTTATTGCGAACGTTAGTCAGCGCACTGAAAAACTGCTTGTACTTAGTATTAATCAGCCTGACTTCGCAGTCCGAACAACCATCGATCCGAATTGTCGCAACGGCTCCACAGCTAGGTCGCAGAGCTCGTCACGCCGAACCTCATGCGCGACAACCACTTACATCAAAGTGTCGGAGCAGCAACAAGAAATGGCGGTGACTGTCACCATCCTGGATGAAGCAGATTATTTTATGCACAGTATTGGATACGATAATATTCGAGTTCCAGGTCAGACTCTGGCAATCTACTAACATAAATCCTACCCAGACTGGTAGCACCTCGAGTCCGGGTAGATTCCTTCATAGAACCTCAGCAAGTCGGAACTACTAAATTCGGAGTTTGTTGTGGCACATAGGCACTGATAATCAAGCGAACTTCACCTTGTGCCCAGGGGTTCAAATCTTTAATACATTGCCAGGATAGTTTCCCAGAGATACTTTGTATCATGAAACTAAGCTCGATCTTGTTCATTCTTCTTCCTCAATGCTGGGACCTTGCTCCCATGGGCTGCAACAGGATTATGAACCATGATATGAGTTCAGAAATCAATTTCCACGGTAGGTCTGATTATTATGTTAAGCCCAATACAAGACTGCAGACAGATTATGAAGCTAATTGCTCATTTTTTTTTTTCTCTTGAGAATTGGCTGGCGGTGAGTTCACAGAGCTGCCACAAATAGGTCAGTGAGACTATGATTCACTCAAAACAGTTTAGGAAATATCTAAATTAAAATTTATATTCTAGACCCCACAAAAGATGATTGGAGATCAATGATCAAGTCTGTTGATTATTTGGAGAAAGACTATGCAAAGGCTAAGGAAGTAAAATACAGTCGGGACGTAGCCCACCAGAGGGATATAGTTCAAGATAAACACTGGATTCACATACAGCATACTATTGATGGATTGAGAACCTGTCACAGGTATATTTGGCAACTTTTTGGAGAACCCTCACCAAACTGGAATCCCCAAGTTTTAGAGCCAATCTTACACATATACATGGATTCAATAGTGAAGGTTTTCTCACTCTTGAAGGCGCGCAGGTATTTTCCAAAACCAAATCATCATCTACGGGTATCAGCAACTAATGTGTGTTGTAGACCCATATTTATGTCCGGAGATACAACCTTTCTGACTCTGATATTCTTGAAGGAATTCAATCTGGTTTTCAAGTGAAAAAGGTTTAGATTGGTTTCTATGGGCCAAGACAGGTGTATTTAGAACACACACAAAGCTCTTCAATCAATATCTTCTCAATCCATATCGTGAAGAGGAATTCAAATACCATATTCACATGCATAATCTTTACAATGTATACAAAGGTTAGTGAATCATAGTCACACATTTCTACCCTTTAGCAATAAATGGATTGAGTATTTAAATCATAATTTGACTGATTCACTTGCTTCATCCAAAATACAATCAAACTTTTGCTTAAGCAGATCTTGGTAAAAAACAGAAAAGTTACATTCTGTTTCAAGAGATTGTGGATAGATATGGAATTGATGAAAGTGCTGAATGCTCAAAAAGAGGTCCTATTCCAGCGACATTTGGAAAAACAAAGATTGAAATGATTAAATTTATGCGGAAAGTTAGGAAATTTACTTTGGAGGAATTAGATAATGAAAACATTAATGAATCATCAAGAAAAAAATTCTTTTTAGATGTGAAGGATGATTTGATGAAAATGAGGAGATTCTTAATTGAACCAACTTGGGATCCTGAAGAAGACATAAATGAAGTATTCAACACAAAATATAAGTATGCATTTGATGCTTTATATTTCATACATGAAATCTTTGGCTCAGCTTATATGGAAGAACTGGAATTCAAGGAATACAATGAAGATACCAGAGATTTTGAAGTGAAATATCAAATGCAGTTATTATTGCAAATCACTAGATCATGGAGCTACATGCTGTTATATTATTCCCATTATGCATCCCAATTTATGAAAAAAGGTCAAGATTATGAGGTGCCACCAAATGTTTGTGAAGAGCTGGGACTGGTCTATTGGAAAAAGTTGGAGGAAAATGTGATGTCTTTTGAAAATTTGAAAAAACAGCAAATAGAGAGGGATCCTTTGTGGGAAGAAAAGATCTCAAGACACCCATTTCACAAAACTTTAATCATTCGTCATAATGAGAAGATTGCAGAGTTACCTCAATTGTACGATACATTCAAATCCTTAGTTAGGGATTCTGTCAGCAATGAATAATCCAGAATAACCCAATGAAAACTTCAAGGAATTATCAGATAATTCTTCTCAACAACATGAAGCTCAAATTTTATTAATCATCATGATTAGGGCTGATTTTACAATTTTATACATAATCATCTACATCCTCAAGTAATGGTGAATTTCACACTTCATACTCAAATTTATATTGCAGGAACAGAATAATATAATCTTAGGTTTTATTACCTAAAAGCTCATCAATGCTTCCAATTATCTCAACCCCATATGCCTCAAAGCTCCCGTGTATTTCCACCAAATCTTGCAACAAATTGAAAAAAAAAACAAGAGAGATGAATACTGAAAACCATCTCATGGATTAAGGATCCAGCTCATGGCTACATAATAATCATACAAATAATCTTCATATCTGCCAATTTCCCCTTTTGTTTTTTCTCTTTCTCAAGTCGATACATCCACACTACAAGAAAAAGTCAGCCAACTGCTACCAGTTGACATGCAGCATGCTCCAAACAAGCCTCAATGAAAACTAAGGTGATTGTGTTGACACACTTGAGTGGTACTACCCTTTGGATTCAAAGGGGAAAACCAGAACAATGTAGAATAAATGTTTGAGTTTAACTCAAGTTGAGTGTTGAGTATCATATCAACTGCCACCAGTTGCTTGAGTTTTTACTGCAGTGCCAGTATCTTGAATTATTCAATCACCATTATAAAAATTATGCAGAAGCTTGGTCCTGTTTGATTATATTAAACAGTCTCTTTGCTGTGGATTGTCATACAAATTAACTGCCAGTGCAAGTCACTAGCCCATGAAGCCTTTGCAACTGCTGAAGATGTTAGGTCTGGGACCAAACACAGAAGCTGTGTTTCTGCTTAGAATTGGGCTGAAATGGATTCAGTGTATCAGATAATGAGAGGGAACCCAGAATGCAAGGTGGTGAGAATGATTGCTTGATAGTCTTGATTCACATATTCCCCAGCTCACCAATCAAGGCCTCTTGGTTATCCAAAGAGGCACAGGTGGACTTCAGGTATTGTTGGCAATGTGACAAATGATGTGCTGTGATTGATCATCCAAAGCTTAGGCCCTGTTTGGCCGTCCATGATTTGTAATTTTGAGTTGAGGTTTGGCAGGAGTTTGTGCAAAAACCTTATATCGTTTCATATCGCACGGTCCAAATCCTAGCCAAACTTAGCCAAATCACAAATAATGATTTGCGGCCAAACGGGGCCTTGATGATGGGTAAAAGATCAGCTGAGCTGAGTAGAATTCAGATGAAAAAAAAAAAAACACTTCTCATCAGGTTGATGAGAAACATTTTTTGGAATGAGTTGAATTGATGAAATGGCACTTACACATCACTTTGAAATCAATTTGTTTTGGCTTTTGTGTGCTTTAAGAGAAACTCCTGATACACAGTCCAAGATGCTAAATCTGTGGTTCTTTGGAGGCACCAATATTATAGCCAACAGATGGTAAATGTCAGTAAAATTCTGGATAAATCTCTAAAACTCCAGTTAGATAACAGTATATAGTAAGATGAAAATCAATCAGATGTTTTTTTTTTTTGAATGAACCTGCGTGGCCAGAGAAAAGATTATGGCAATGGAGATGAAACCTAAATAGCAGAATTGGAGGCTACAGTAAATGGGGACATGTTGCTATTGGATTACTCCCTGTCACAATCTACAACCCTTCCAGGAGTCAATTTACACCCATTATATCTATTTTTTTTCATCATTCTTTTTTTTCTGAAGCCTTCTAGCAATAGCACTCATTTGAGCTAGTTGAAAGCTTAATTGAGCTGTTAAATTAGGACTGAGAGAGGTCTAAAAAGTATTTAAAATAGCAATGGGAAGTCCTCCATTAACCAGAGTAAATTTTGGGTTGTGTTTTTTTAAGGCCTCGTACAGAAATGTGTAAAAACGAGTGCGACTTCAACATAGTAGTTAATCCCAGTTAGTCTTCCATATCAACGTCTTCGGTCGTGATTCTTGGTGGCCAGGTGTATTTACAACCAGTAGCTTGCATTGCTTTACAGGAGATGTCAAAGAATAGGGAAGTCCAAGTATTGAGCCAGTGACGAGCGTCTTCAATCATCTCCCGATCCACCAGTGGATCGTTTCTTTCAAGCAACGAGTCCCAGTATTTTTCCAAGACGGTCGAGAATTGGGTAAAGCCACGTATAATATCCACCAACATACCCACAGTTTGCCGACGACGGGTTGGCCAACGTGTGATATTGTATGTCAATCTTTGTATGTGTTGAGCAATCTTAGCGCTACCTCTGAGTAATAGTTTCAATTGAGTGTCTTCTATGTTCATTGATGGTCGAACAAAAATTAAGCGGCTACTGGTATTCGATCGTAAGAGTTTGTTGAAATATATTCGAGCTAATCCAATCAACGGAACGGTGGCTTGAACGAATTTGCCTAAAGTCCCATGTACCATCGCTGGCTCATCATCCGATTCTGATCCGGAATCATAATATCTGTCGGCCTTGAAGCGGATTGGCTTTCGAAGCAGTTCAAACGACTCCTCAAACTTCTCAATTAACTCTTGCCACTCTGCCTTCGATAAATCCAATAAAGATTTTTGAAGCCATTCAATTATAGGGTCAACTTCTTGATTATTTTGGGGATCCTTTCGGTGATGCTTGCGGTGACGTAAAGGTATTTTTGGCTAGCCGAGGGGACGCCTCCGAATGGGTTGGACATACCGAAACCTGAGAAAAAGTTAGCGCATTGGTACAACAGTCCCATTTCAAGTTTTTCATACATAAAGCGAGAGAGGAGAGTTTCAGCTGTCGCGACTCGGTGATAAGTTGAATGTTCAACATTGGGGTGATCGCCCAGAGATCCTTGTTCGGGTTCATACGTTTTCCGAATTGAGCGCATCGGTACATCAAGTTGTTCCACCCGGTCATCGATATCTATCAAGTTGTCCAGAAACGCTTCGTACCACCAACTCGGATTGGGTGCCGTCGGGTCGAATCGTTCAAAGGTGAGTGATAAATTCCTTAGACTTTCTTGAAGTGCGGGCAAGAAGACTTGTCGCAACTTGTAAGGAATGTCATTTCTCAATCTTAACCAGGAGTGCTTGCCCCACGTATCTTCACGGAGCTGATTAGCGCGTAGACCCCCCATAAGCCAGCTTACTCGTTGTCGCAATTGTCTGGTGGCTTTGAAGGAGATCTCTGAATCGGAGTACACAAGAAAATTCTCAATGGGCATATTATGTAGCTATAAATCTCCTCGTCCATCCGTCAAGTGAGGGATTAGTGATGTGTATAGGGTCTGAAGACAATAAGCTCACCCATGTCTTCTTGTTCCGACCTTCCATCTGGGTGGTTTGATTTGAACGCCCTCACAAGTTCTGCGACGGTAGCGACCTGTGTCATCTCGATCTCCATCTCGTATGTAAATCGTTTGTTGGGTTGGTTGTCTTGTAAGTTTTCCAGGACAGTGTGGCTCTTGGCAGTTTTCAATCGCAACAACTTATTTATGTAACAACTCAGTCCCACCAATCATCCAATCGTCCCACATCATCAACAGACCGGGGGAGCATGGGGACCCCGGGGCTAGCTTTGGGTATATCACTGCTCTATATCATTATCAGTACATCATCATTCATACACAGCGCATTGAAATAGGCCAGTTCACGTATACGCGGCTCGTTCAGGCTCGTTCACGAATAAAATATTTGTTGCAGGCATCTATTATTCATCCGTCCTTTGTCTGGTGTTTAATTAACCTTGTGTCCATCGTCCGTAACTCAGGAAACACAACTACCACGACGATGGGTATTCCAACCTCAGTGTTATGTATGTATGATACGTATATGGTTACAACTTGAGCGCGACAAATTATTTAGGTAGTGTGGTCTTCATAGGACCAGCAGAACCTTGCTTATAATCAGTACTCGTTTTCTGTCTTTGCGAAGATATTATTTCCACGGATTTTCCAAAATGTTGATTAAACACTTGCTTGCTTTTACGTCTCTTCATCCTTACATTCTCCAGGCGAGTTGTTCAAACTCTGAGCCTCTCATAACCCCCTCGATTTCTGAGGTTCAACAAAACAATTTCGACCGAGCAAACAGTACCTCAATAGACTTGATCTGCAAGCCACACGAGTCCCCCTTCCTTTCCTGGGCTCAAAAATCCGTGTACACGTATATTGATCAAGTTCACCCACCACCGACACTGATCCCATTCCGGGATGGGTTCTACAAATCGTCTTGCTTTGTGGATCCTATTGATACCGAACCCGAGCAATACTGTATCTTTGTCAACCCCACCATCAACCACGGGCAAGGAATGGTGATAGTCACGCCGACAGAGCTTTTTGAAACCAGTCTTGGAAATGGCCTCAAACTCGCAGATGATCCGGCGCATCCTGATTCGATCAAAATCGTTCAGATGCCTGAGAAAGGAGGTTTAGGAGCAGTTGCTGCTCGCCAATTCCGGCGGGGCGATGTGATTCAACAGAGCCGGCCGGTTGCGCTCTTTGCGAATGACCGCCCTATCTGGGCAACTCGCTTTGGCCACAATATTCGCAGACAAGCGGTCCGTCATTTGCCGCTCGAAACCCAGGCTGCCATCGCAAGCCTTCACGGTCAAGGACAAACTGAGGATGAGGTTTTCGAGAGCGTGTTCGAGGCCAACATGCTTTCCACCAAGCTGTATGGAGACGAGCACAGGCACTTTGGTGCGCTGGTCCTGCAAGGATCGTACGTTCCTCACCATTCATTCAAACTCACATAAAACTTGGATATACAAATGTTGAGGGTTGTCCAGAGAAACTTTTACAGTCGATTCAACCACGCCTGCCGACCCAACGTGGTTTACTTCATCGATCATGAGACACAGCTCATGAATTTGAGGGCTTTTGAGTCGATTTCAAGTGGCGAGGAGCTTACCATAAGTTGTGAGGAACGATTGCTTCCGTGATACATTGTCTTACACTGATCCAAATTGCATACATGTTATGTTAGATCGTCCCTTAGAAATGGACCGCGAAAGTCGAAGAAAGGAGCTGCAAGAGACCTATGGTTTTCGATGCACTTGCCCGCATTGTCAGATGAGTGCGGAACTTGGCAAGCTCTCTGATCAACGACTGGCCCGGATCATAGAGCTTCGAATCAAGTTCTTCTCCGAAGATCCGATGTTTACTGCTGAGGATGCTGAGGAGCTGGTCAATCTTTGCGAAACGGTATGTCTGTCAGATAGTCCTTGATCAGAATGCTTTCTGGATCTCTGAATTTCCTATCAATAATTTTTTACACCCTACATGATATGCAAAAAAAAAAAACAGGAGAAAATCCCACGATGTATTGCGCTCTCAAACCTCATCGCGGCTGAGTTTTACAATTCGGTTGGGCAAGTCGAGGAGGTGAGAGGGCATGCAGAAGAGGCAAGAAACATGGCACTTCTTGTTGATGGATTGCAGTGGCCTTATCTTGATGATCTGGAACTGCTTCTCATACATCCTGAAAAACATGATTCCTATCTTTCAAGAAGATAAAAAAAAATCAATGCTAGTTATACACCATCAAGCTGATTCCTCAGCAATATGACTACATAAAACCTGAAAAGTGATCTGGGCACAGTGTGAGTCTAAAATTTCATATTGTTAGGAGTGATTTTTTTGGAATGGAATATGGAAACCAGATGAATCGATCTGGATTGAAGGAAAGGCCTACCATGAAGCATTTCAAGGACCATTGAGTGACCAATTACACTGTCATTTATGGTTTCAAGCCTCCAGACCACTACTGATTTTGATGGAGTTATGTTCCATGAACAACAATTTGGCACCATTTGGTTTCAAAAAGGCACAGATTTGCATAGAAAACACCCCAAATCAGTGATTTTCATGTCTTTTGCACCAAGTTCACTCTACTTACTTGGTAGAAGCACTTGCTTGTGAAACCCTGGTGATTTTGACTATTCTAAACCTGTCTTTTCGACTTGCTATCTTTGGGAAGCATTTTCCAAAAGAAGCATTGGAAGCAAAGAAAAGGCTAATGGAATTGTTTGAAGAAAGAAAAAACCAAATGGCGGAAAAGATTCAACAAGAAAAAGAGCGTGAAAAGGATACGACTTCAAAGGAAAAGGAGATGAATGACAATGATATCTACTGATTTTTCAGTGGTTCAAGCAACAATTCAGGCCAGGACAAAATAGAAATTTACTTGGGAGGAGTGGATCGTATCATCCATGGCGATAAAAAGGATTACAAATTTTCTGCATTGAAATGGTGGAAGGTATGTCTCTTATTGGCTTCTTCAAATGAATGTTGATTTTTTTGTTGATACATTGAATTTGCAGGAACACAAGCTCAAGTATTTGATACTCTCAACTTTAGCAAAAGACTACATAGGCTGTGTAGCATCTTCTTCATCTGTTGAAAAAACTTTCTCTGCAGCAGCAGATGTCTGTACTAGTACCCATGGCAAGCTGTTGCCAAGAACAATCAAAAGATCTGTAAGTAGCCACATGTGGTTGCGTGATGATCTTCCATTGTGAGAAAATGCTTAGGGGGCAGCCAGGCAACACAATAACTTCAAATTATTTTGTGAAGAGAGAGAATTGCCGCTTGAATGGTACACAGAAATAGAAATTTGTTTTCATTATCTCATCCTTTTTTGCTTTCATATCAATTGTTATCCTAGTTACAGTCAAGTTATCCTAGTTAAAATCAAGTTATCCAAAATGAAAAAAATGGCAACGTAATTTGAAATCAAGCAAGTTAGACAGGAATGTAACTAAAAGCACAAAAAGTGTTTTTTTTTTTTTGGGAAATGAAGTTATCAGTAACTGAAATGTAATGTAACTGTAAAGCTTACGTTACACACAAAGTTATCCATTTGGGTAATGTATGTGCCCACCATTGATGAGAGGAGAACTAGTAGAAATAAAACACCAACATTTAATTCCAAAATGGGTTTATAACTGGATGATGTGATCAAGTAAAATAAATTTTGACAGGTTTAATGTTTTATCTCTTGATGAAATTCTGTTTATAACTACTCCTGCTGCTCTATTTTATCTGTTCATCTCTTGTTATGTGCTATTGTCATAGTTTTCCTTCAGAGTATACTCTTCTTCATGAAAAATTTGATCTGGTCTTGTTGCTCCAACCAACCAGTGGAGTTGTGTTTTTCAGCCACATGTGAATACATTTCTTTGAATGTAAACATTTCTGAAATAAATTCTGTGTTGTATTGGGTCAGGGCTTCTTGAACATAAACTTTGTTCTCCCTTTGATATCTTTTTCCGTTAGGTTTGTTCAGGAAAGCTTTGAGACTTCTTAGCTTGTCAGAAGTTCCAAATACTTTTGCATAGGCAACTACTAATTTTCTCTTGGCTTGAAACTCATTCAATCTGCTTGAACTAATCATGCATTCTGTTTTGTCTATAATTGATTGGCCAAATTTCCTTTTGGTGAAATCCAAAATTTGACATAGAGCAATATAAATGAACTCTTCATCCAAACCAAAGTGATCTGTTCCTTCCTTGGGGTCAAACATGAAGTGGAGTAGCCTCAGAATTTTTTCAATTCCCTCCATGAGATCTTTTCTTAATCCAGAATTTGAATCCAACCAAACCCAAACTTCTCCAGTGTAATCCTTGACTTTATGTGAAGCTTTCAAGATTGATTTCAATCTATCAGTGTATTCTTGAATTGAAAGGTTTTGAATTTTTTCTTTCCATTCATCAGTTGTGTTGCAATAAGCAATCCTTTTGTCTCCAAAATTCATTATCTTTTCTGACAAGTAATAAAGATCAAACAGGTTGTTATCTGTTTCAATCAGGGCTATTATTAATCAAGGGAAAAATAATATGGATTAGCTATTAATGAAACCTTCTGTGGAATAATTAATCATCAAATCACCTGAAAAGGACTGAGAAATTTGTCTTGAGTACCAGTGCTTTGAGAAGGATTCAAATCCATCCCAAATGGACCATACTGGAGAACTAAACATATCGTTCTCTTGACTAAAAGACCTCCTTATATAGTGTATAACCTCCTTGACAAATTCCTTATCATGGAGATAAATTTGTAAATGTTCTGGACCAATCAAATTTTTCTTGAAGAAGAAATCCATCAATTGGAAGTGGTACCTCCAAGCTAAATCAGGAGAAAATGTATTCCTAATGTCTTTATTTAGTGAGTTTGATTCAGATCCATGCTCAAATATGATTTGCTTTATGCCTTCCAAGAGTGATTGGAAAATTCCAGTCCAAATTTTGTGTGAAATTTGAATAACCATGTCTCCAGGCAAGTTCTGAATGCATTGTGGTACTTTTATTTCTGCATTATCATGGTTTTTTGTGAATAATAATGCAATCAACCTTCTATTTGAGGATCCATACAAGTTTGCCAACTCTAGAAGCCTGACTTCCTTCAATACTTGAAGCTTTATTTTGGATGATTCAAAATATTCTCTAACAGATTTTATTTTCCCTTCACTATTGTACTTGAACCTTTTGTTGCCTTCAAAGTTTATCTGAACCATTTTGTGCAGCTTTAAAATTTTATTAACTTCCTCATCAACTGAGATTACTTTTTCTGAAAATTTTTAATTTATCAACTTAGGAAACATCAATTTTATTTTACATTCTAAGGAATCTTCAATAACAATCTTACCATAATTCTTTTCCCAATTTTCAAATAATATTTCACCTGGATTAAAGATGTTGCATCAAACAGACCATTTCAAAAAATTAATCAGCAGAACTTGAGAAATTGATGGTACACTTACGTTGTTTTTTGGGCAAAGAACTCAATATTTGTGACTCTTTGACCAATTTTATTAACTCAGGATGTGCTGAAATTTCTTTATCCCCAGGTACATCATTGACCAATCCTTGTACTTCCAGGCATATTGGAATTTCTGTCTCCTCATTGACAGGAATTTTGAATTCTTCTTGGGTAGATAGATGGCATTTTTTTGTGGATCCTGAGGTAACAGAATTGGGTGGGGTTTGGTATGGAAGAAATTTTTATTATCAAAAAAACATCACCAAAATTGTACCATTGGATTGGGAATCTGTATCTGGAGAAAAATAATCACCATGGAGTGATGGTATTGGTAAATACCTTTTTAACCATGGTCTGGATTTAACCTCCAACCAATAATTTGCAATGAAGATAGTAATTATTAATCTGTGATGCATTTTATTTTTCAATGATATGAACTTCAATTCAAAAAGAAAGTTGGATTTGATTTGGAGAAAGGTTGGCAAGGTCAACCTGCTAGTTCAAGTCCTGTTGAAAAACTTTGTGGAACATCTTGTGAAGGCCAACTACTAAACACCTAAAATTGAGACCATAAAAATCTTCTTTTGAAACATGCCAGAGGATTGATTCTTGATCTTACATGTGTCATATGGTACAGGTCACACAAGTTCTTTCAGATAGTTCAGGCCCAAGTTTGATGAGGAGATACACCAGGAAAAATGAATGCTAACCAGATGGCATTTGTAACATTGATCACTGCCTATTTTGATTGCCAGATCTGTTTCAAACCAATTAGAATGGCCCCTTTGTGTGCAAAATGAGGATGGGGCTAGAATGTTGAATTTGGCTTGATATCAATTTTCATCTAGTGATCCTTGTCATTTCCTGGTGATACAAACTAAGTTAAATAAGTACCTGGATGGAAGTTGGAGGAGTGACACTTTCCTTCAGGTATCATACAAAGGAGAGAATTGATTTAAAAAGGTTAAGTATATGAGGTACTCATAAATTTCCACAGAAAAAGTGGGATTGGTTAACTGGAGAAATATAGATGGTAATGCTAAGGTAAATTTGGCTGTTTGCAAGCTCAGGATAGATATAATTTCCATGGGAAGATATTATTGCCAGTGTTATAATTTATGATACCACTGGGAAGTTGAACTTGTCAAAGTATTTTATCCCACCACATACCTAAAACTACAGACTCAGCAATGTAGTGGTTGGCTACACACTACAGTATTCCACAGTTCACCCAACATCTGTGTCAGACACTGAGACACTGGTCCATGTGTCTACATGAGATTGTAACCCCTCCATGTTACATAATAATAAATATTATTATATGTATTCTTTAAATTTATAAATATTTATTTAATGTTATTCTTTAAATTAATAATGATTTACCTCTGTACATATTTATCTCTCTCTGGATAATTAATGTACCTCTATCATGAAAATAATAATCAAATTTAAAAGGATACTTACCTCTTGTGCTTATCCAAGTGATTATCATCCTTTTTATCTCTCTTGTGTATCTCTCTTGTGTATCTTCTGAAATAAGAGAGATATTCTACATATGTAATTCTATTTTCTGAAATAAGAGGGATATTCAAAACATGTACATTTGCATGTTTGAATATCTTGACACTTTCCCCCAAAGGAATAGTGTAACAATAAGGGGACTGCACCGGTGTGGTGAGATTGATCAAACCCATAGCCATAATTAAAATCACCTTAATACACATAAATAGTAAGCTAAAACATTAGAGGAGAAGGGGTAGATTAGGAGATAAACCACATAATTATTACTGGGCAAAATTGTAGTTGAATTAAATCACAAACCAGGCTCAAGATATTCAATTTCTCATGGATAAAAATTATACAAATAACCTGTTGAACTATGTTACATTCAACTTAGACTAGTAAATCAAGCTACTAATCAGAAAGTATCTCTCAGACTAGATCTAGAAAGTAACTCTCAAACTAGTTAATCTTAGAATACCAGTCTCATAGCAATTAATCTAAGATTGGGTATCTTATAGAAGAATTACAACCTCTAGTATCAGAAGGGCACTTAAAGACTAATTCATATCAGATTAGCCCATCTAAGAGTAGTAAAATCCACTCTAGAAGTACCCTTCTCAGACGCACTTTTGTTCAGGCCAAAATCTCATGTACTGCAGAACCATTTGTCTATAAATAGAGGCTCTTCTGGCCCATGTTTTCCTCTTCCTTCCTCATTCTAGCTACAGAATAATAATCAGAGATATTGCACAGCTTTCATCACACCTTGATTAAGAAATCCAGATATTATTAGAGCCCTTTGAACTTCCCTTATCTCTTTTTTTGGCCATAGAAAAGTAATTCAGAAATATTGCTTAGCCATTCTCAACTCTCTTGAAACAGATATCAGAGAAATAAGTGTACCCTTTATCAGAGCCCAGAGAGACCAGAGAACCAGAGGGAATTTATATCAGAGAAACCCTTCAGAAACCCTTATTACTTAGAAATCCCCCACCATCTCCTTACCTCTTAAAAAGGTATTCTTAAGCAACAATAACAGTAGTATCCACACTAACATAAATCTAGAAATACACCACACTCTTATTTTTCTTAGTGTAACTTTCCTGCAAGCTAGACAGGAGGGCAGTCTCACCCACACACAGATACTAATTCTACTATTCCATAGTCTTATTAGCTATTTTATCCCCTCCAAGCTCTTTACTCACTTGCTGAGCAGTTCCACACCAGTCTAACAGACAGCCTGAACCCTGCCTTGCGATACTTAAGGGGAAGGCTTTCCCTCTAGGATTCCTTCCTCCAGAGATTATTGCCATACAAACCCATGTACCTTACTTAATTCTAGTGAGTGGGGTTTTAGCAGTACACTCTCCCTTTTCTCTTTACCTTCCATCTTTATCACTATTCTACTATCCTAGACCTAGACTACAGTTAATTCACTACTATAGTCTAGAAGAGAGCCTCTTTTGGTCTGATCTAAGCTTTGTGTGGCAATGCTCATTCCACCGTTTTCACCTTTAACCCAGGGATCTAACCCCTCCACCTTCTGGTGGTGAGGTGAGGTTTATTTCCACTGGCCACCTCTGTGGCTATAGTGTGACCCAATACCCTATCAACTCCTGGTCACATAAGAGACCAGAGCTGACAATCTGGATCTCTATGGATGGCCTGTCTACACCAGCCATCAAGTGGATTTTCCTTCTCAATGACTTGAATAGCCAGTAATCAGGAGTAGAATGTAAATTTTACATCATGACTGAAGAGTTTAGGTGCATTTGTGTACACTCTCCTCTTGATGACCTTCCGGAACACAAAGAACCTCAAGATCAAGATCAAACTCTGTAGTTTTTTGTTTGAGTATCAACAGAATAAAGAGGCCCTGGGTTTGATTGCAAACCTTTTGAAAGAGCTCAAGAAATTGGACAATAAGATGATCCTCACTGAGATTCATCTACTTGAAAGAAGATTTTGACATGCTCTCTTGGATCCACCAAAGGCTAAGGTGACACCCTGCTTTTTTGTTTAATTTTTTCTTGGATAATCCTTTCCCATTGAGCGCTGACCATCTGATCACGTTACTAGGCAGATTTAATCTCTGCAAGAACAGCCGCAAACTCAGTTTACTGCCCACCCTTACTTCAGGCCCCGTTGGACATGCAGTCAGGTCTCTTGCATGCAGAAGAAAAAGATTACAAGACAGCATGAGCAATATCAGAATTATACTATTGTCAATATGGAACTGAATCCATATTGGTGAATCTCCTGAAAGAACAGCTATTTGTACTTTTTCAAGGTGCTTGAAGTATCAGCTACTCAAGATGACCCACAAGCATCTTAGCCTTAAAGTGTATGTTGATGTGCAAAGTGATGCTCAATCTGGTAAGCTTTCTCTTAACCTTTTTCATTCTTGCTCAAGGGCTGAAACTAATTTCACGTGATTTCAGCCCAAAAATGTCTCAAGTATTCAAGGCTCCAAACTAGCCCAAAAATACGCTGGGCAAGAGACTTAAGCCATGCACGTAATCACCAAGGCACATGAGAACAGAAGCCTGGCTGATTCCAAAGAAGATTTGAAGGTCTATAAAGCCGGTGAGCAAATCAATGTTTGACCCAACCAATAATCAAAGTAATGGAATCTCATTTTTATCACATCAATAAAACTTGATGGAATCTGTAGAATTATTGGATGAAACAATTTTTTGCAACCATATTGCGGCCCTGTATGACACAATTGTGGAACAAAACCTGATACAGATCATTGCGCCTTACTCAAGGATCAAATTGAGTTGTGTGGCTGAACAAGTAAAACCGCCCTTACGCGATGTTGAGGCAAAACTGTTGCAGATAATCCTTGACAAGGTTTTTCAGGTATCTTGGATCAGGGAAAAGGGTGTTTGGAGGTCTTTGAGGAAGTTAAAACCAAGAAGATTTATTATTACTTGCTTGATACTTTTAAACATATTGGTAGCGTTTGGTTTAAGGGGCGGGTATCTGAAGATACCCGCTAAGGCGGGGGAATACCCACCGGCGGATGCGGATGCGGGTGCAGATGCCTGTTTCCCTAGAAAAAGCAGCCGGATATCCGGATGCAAAGGGGCCATCCCTAATCTTTCTTGGCCTCATGAACACCATCCATTTGTGTTTTAACACACCACTAAGCACCATAACATGTCCTACCATTCTCTTATCATAACAGGCTGACTGCTATCATATGGCTCCACTTAATTGAATTATATCACAAAGAAATGCAATAATTTTTCTAGATAAAGAAAATTAGGCTGAACTGCCTTCATGAGTTGCTTTGTTTTTCAGGTGAGGCATGTTGAGCTTAATCATGATCATCCACATACAATTTAAACAGACCAAATGGATTATCAAGCTCAATACATAGTCATCAAGCATAATGGGCCCAATTGATCAGATCAGCTTGTCTGACCAGCAAATACTTGCAATGTGACTTCCCAAGGCATTCACAGTGATTCTGCAACAGAAAAATTTCTGTTACATGTTGGTCATTGTTGATTTTGAAGTGGGATGATAGGGTGAAGGTAGGTACAACAGCAGGCAATAATATTCAATTTTTATTTCTGATCATATAAAACTCAATTTCTTTATAATATTGAATTCAGTCATGATTAGATTTTGATCATGCATGGTCTCAGCTGAGCCTGTACCAAATTTTGGTCCAAGCTTTCCTGGGGTCATTAGTGAAGCTCCAAAAGTTTGGAATGGGGGATCCGCTCCCTTCCCCCCCTCCCCAAGTCCTTGGAAAGTCCTTGGTAGCAAGAATGAATCCCCTTCAGCACTCGCACTGCATCAACTCACTTGTCAGACAAACCAGTCTGGCAAGTGATTGGAGTCTGAACTGAATATACCCAACGAGTTCAGAAGCCCAGAGGTAAGAAGCTGCGCATGCTGTCGGAGAATGTCAGTCAAACCTCTTGTCAGGCTGGCTTATCCAAAAAATGAGCTGATGACCTCTGATGACGTGTTGATGACTGGGCAGGATGCTCAATATTCAAGTACAATAACCGGTGAAATAACCAGTATTTACAAACCATCAAATTGTCTGTTTTCGGTCTTGCATTATGGGGAGGCTCACTCGTCAACTGCTGGTCGGGTAAACGGGCTTAACAACCACTCGGTCGGATTATGTCCGAACAGAGGTGCAGCGCTCAGGACATAGATACATGAGTGTAGACCAGCACACAGACCACTTCGGCTCCTATCCGGGTCGCTGAGGACTGTCGCGGCCAGCACTTGAATTTGATACGGCTTAGGCATCGTGTTCCAAGTGATCACCGTGAAGGTTTCGTCTGACGCCTCAGCCTGGCTGCGGAGTCGTCCCGACAAAGCAGTTGGACTATTGCCCAGACAGCAAAGTCAGGGCCTAAGTCCGAGCAGTATTTTATGGTGTCTAGGAACGGCCGCAGGCAATTACAAATGTGACCGCTGCTACTTGGCTGTAAGCACTTTTTTAAAAGAAGAGAAGCAGGGAAGGGTTATGTGTTTATGTGTAGCATACGTAAATTTGTGAGTTTCAGGACGGGCTTTGCTGGAATAAATCCTGCTCCGACCGGTACCCTTGCTTCGTGCAGGCAAAGGTGCTATATATACAGCTAGTTTCAGAAAGGTTGTCACCTTGAGCTGGATTTTCCAAGCAGAAATCATGGTATATTCAGGTTAAGTTTGCAAATCCATCTACAAACTTGCGCTAAAACAGTAAGTTCACTGCAAAAACGGGGTTTGAGTTTGAGTTTGCCTATGAATTTGGTATATCCAGCACTTTTTCTTGAAGGAAAATCCACACCAAGGGCGACAACCTTTCTGAAATTAGCTGTATCTCAGCAAGTTGACGTCGCTGGAAGCACTCGTGCTTCAAACATCTCATTTTAATTGTGCCGGATTACCAACGTTACCAGGCTAGCATTCCAGAGATGCTCTACCTTCAGAGATTGAGCTTCATCGTGGTAATTCTTTTTCCTCAAGGCTGGCATTGCATGCCCATGAGCTACGAGCAGTTCCTGAAGGGAGAAATCATGGCAGGAAGCAATGCGAGGGGTAATTTATTTGTTTTGAGGGATATATGCGAATGAACACCAATCATAAAACGAACATATTTAATTGATGAATATCTCATTTGACTTCCAGAATTGACTGGGGGTAACCACAAACAGTTGTCACAAATGGGTCAGTCTGATTATGATTCACTCTATGAAGAGTTTAGCCAGTTTCTGAATGCCGATTCATCTACTAGACATAAAGAAAGATGACTTGAAATCAATCATCAAACCTGTTGAATATCAGGAGAAAGACCAAATAGATACCACAAAATTAAACCGACTTTTAGACACAAAACAGGCAAGGGAAACAGTCCATGACAATAACCAAGAACACATACTGGATTCAATTGATGGATTGAAAGAATTCCACAAACACACACATCAAGTTTCTGGCACACCAGGCATATCACTTGGAAACTCCTGGGATCAGCCAGAACTCTTCTTTATGCTCAACTCATGGTAAATATCACACTAAACATGTAGTCAACTTTCAGTAACATAACCTCCCTTGTTGGTTCTCAAGATTGTTTGCCTAAAAATTGATTCATGAAATTATATCAACCTCCTCAGGCCCAACACTCCTTCTTAGTTCCAATGACTTCTGAATACATTGAAAACAAAGTAGAGAAAATACTTAGAAACAATGATACAGTTTATGACAGCATTCTCATGATGTATGGCAATAAAAATCTAGAGATTGATTATGTTTGTTTATGAAATTTGCCTTGATTTTTGATTGAAATTGATAAAATTCTACTAAATTCATCAACCCAGAGATAGCAATCTATCATTTTTCCCTGAGATTTCAAACAAAATTTTAATCCATAGCCTTCAGTAAATGATCCTTTTGCCATTTTTATGGTGACTGTAGCTATGGAAGTAAAATAAGACACATGACATAGGTTAATCAACATGAAATTGTGTGGAGGGCTTCCATCATTTTTGTGAAGGGGCTGTACAAGATAAGAAACAATTGAACACAAATTAGTGGCCTTTTTTATCAAACATATATGGTAATCACTGGGTGCGTTGATAAACGCACTCCCTCCCCCTTCCCACCTGCCCATGCCCCCGCCCCTCCAAAAGGGGCGTGCAATCCCATCCGCCCGTCTCTGAGGGGCAGGTTTGATTGCACGCCCCTCGGAAGCCTGATTTTGCAAGGAATCAGGCTTCCAAGGGGAGTGCAATCAAACCCGCCCCTCAGAGACAGGCGGGTGGGATTGCATGCCAACCACCTGAGAGGTCATGGCAGGCTGATGTAAGCAAAACACTTTGGACTGTTTTGCTTACGTCAGCGCGCCGGTGACTCTTTCCTCCTGGCCTGACAAGTATTGCGGATTCAGCCCTCCTCCACCTGCCAGCAGCCCCCCATGTGCAGTATGGGTCATCGGGTTGGACAGTGGTAGATTGGGAAGTTGATAAACGCACGCAAGCCCCCCTGGTGCACGCCAAACCGCACGCCAGGTGCGGATTGGCATGCACGCCTGCACACCAATCTGTTGAGGCATGAGATGATAGTTTCGAAATGAGGAATGAGAAACATCAAACTATGTCTCGTGTCCGGGTGTCTAGTGAGCAGATGGTGACCCCAAAAAGGGGTTACAACACCCCCCCCTCACCTAGACACCTCACACTGAGATAGCTAGTTACAAAACAGAATAGTGGAAACGTAAAAGAAAAAGAAAGAAAAAGGAAGATAGGCAAGAGAAAAAAAACTCTAGCAAGAAAACAGCAACCAAAAATAAAAAACACAAAACAACACTGTTAGTAGCAATTATAATGGTTTCAAAAAACTCCTAGCAGGTGTCCACGAAGGCGCTCAAATGGGTCTCTAGTAAGTGACTTTGTAAGGATGTCAGCTATTTGTTCTTTTGTTGGTACCCATGTCAGGGAAGTTTTCTTTTCGTAGAGCGCCCTATTTGTGATGTGGAATTCTCTCTCCGTGTGTCTTGCCCTCTTGTTAGAAGATTCGTCAGTTCCAATTTTCACCGCCGCTTGATTGTCGCAGTATAGTTGTCCAACGTGCTCTGCTCTCGTGATATCCTTCAGAAGTTGTCGAACCCATAGTACTTGCCGAGTAGCAATCCCTAAAGCCATGTATTCTGCCTCACAAGTTGATGCCGCTACTGTCGCCAACCGTCTCGACGTCCACAGTATTGGGCAGCCGTATACCATCAAGAATATCCCGTAGGTTGACTTTGCATGCTCACCACCCCAAGAGGCATCACAATAGCATTTCAGAATCCCAGCAGTCTTGTCTGGGTTTGATAACCATTGTCTGTTCTTTAGAGTAAGCCAAATAGTTGACCAGGTGGCGGACCCCCTTCCAGTGTGTTGGACCTGGACGAGCTGAGAAACGTGCTAAGAAGTTCACTGCAAAAGAAAGATCAGGCCTGGTACCTACCGCCACATAGCTCAGAGACATAACCACAGAAAGATAAGCCGTGCTAGTGGAAGTATCACCCTCCTGCTCCGAATTGATATCGAGATTGGCCGGTAGTGGGGTCTTGGCCGTCGACACACCATCCCAATGTTTGTCAAGTATCTCTTGAATGAGTTTACCCTGACTTAAAACAAAGGAATCACTCGTGCGTCGAATGTCAATGCCTACCATTGAGTCAATTGAATTGCTCCACTTGATTTCGAGTTGTCCCGTAAGTGCTTTCTCCAAATCAAGCAGTAATCCCGCATTGTCTCCTGTTACTATCCCGTCATCGACATGTATCCAGATCACACCTGTCCTGCCGGGGTCTTTCAGAACGTATAAGCTGGTGTCATAGTGACTCGCCTCGTATCCTAGGTTGCTGAGTACATTCTTCAGGTGAAGCCACCAACATCTGGCCGCTTGTCTTGTCCCATACAGCGCCTTTTTCAGTCGTAATCCTTCCCCCTTCTTGAGTTCCATCCCTTCAGGCGGTTTGATCCATATTTCTTCGTCAATGTCGGAGTTCAGATATGCTGCTACAAAGTCAAAGGAGTGAACTGGCCCAGTTGTTAGCTGCCGCAAGGGTTAGCACTAATCGCATTGACACAAAAGTAGCCGTAGGGGCAAAAGGTCTTGTTGAAATCTTTTCCTTCAATTTGAGTAAAGCCTTTCGCAACATATCTTGCCTTATAGCGCGTGACACTGCCATCAGCTGCCTTCTTGATTGCAAAAACCCAGCGTCCATCAAGTTCCTTCTTCGGTGAGTCCATGATCCGAACCTCCCAAACCTGTTTCCTGTCAAGGTTCCTGAGTTCTTCCTCCACCGCTTTCTTCCAATGTTCCCAGTCCACTGACTTCTTGGCCTGTTTGAAGGTGTTTGGGACTCCGACCGCATAAAAACCGCAATTGGTTAGGATGTCATCAACAATTCGTTCTTCCTGTTCAAAAGACAATTCATGGGAAAAATCTCCTAAGGAAATGGTGTTAGCAGTTGGGTTGGTGGATAATTGAGATGAAATTGGTTTATGAAAATCAGTAGGTCTAGCCATCAGGGGTCCTGGCAGATCTTCGAAACTTGCCCAGGCAGAGGAAATAAGTTTGTCAGTTTCAGGTATCCAGAACTTCCAACCTTTGCTCTCTCCCAGGTGGGCAATCACATGTCCTCGGATCGCCCTATCCTCAATTTTCGACCTTTTTTCTGGTGCCGTCACCACGTAACGCCACACTCCCAAAAATCCTCCCTCGATCCAATTGTGGTTTGTGCCAA